TGTTCTTGTTTGTACCTTGCGATGTTGCCCCTGGTTGCACTATTTTTTGGGTTGTGAACTGCTCCATGATCATTTGCGTTAGCACGGCGAACTATAACAATGTCGACCGCGGATTAGACCTTTCTGATTGATGAGCAGGTGTTCCCCAACAAAGTGTCAGTTTGCCAAATTGATAGGTACTGACATGGAGTCTAAACAAATTGGTTCAACCAGGGTTCAGATTAGTCAAACAGCTTGACACTGGGTCCATCTCAACATGACAAAATTTCCCCTGAAAGGTACGCCAGCACATAGGTTTTACGTTCACCCGCAACAAGGTTAATGGCGGTTCTTAAGGTTAATGGTGGTTCATACCCACTTCAGAAGGCCTTGTTGTTTGTTGCAATAGGCCTCACCTCAGTTTTTTGAGCACCACATGACCCAGAAGGGAAGACCACTACCAGCTTTGTCAGCGTCCACCAAAGGTACAACAAAAGGACGAAGAAGGCGAGTTTCTCCAGATGGCCGCCCTTCAGCAGAACATGAGGCTTAGCCTGGCTGAGCTGATGACAGGGTGATGGCTGTAGAGCCACGACCTGAAGATTTTGGTACAACATAGGCAGCCGTTTTTTGTGGAAGGAATACAGTTATCCAAGAGAATATAAGAATATGGATTCTACTTCTTGTGGTGGGCACATAGGGATTTCCACTCATGATCCTATACCCATCGGCAGTGTTGGCCATGGTTTATATATGATGTAAAGCAAATATGTCTCAAGTAGCATCGCCTGTCTGCCAGAATTGGATCAAGTTCAATTGTTAATTCACAAGGGTTTCCTGTAAATTCTCCAATGAAACAACTCGACGATTGCGGGGTCAATTGAAAACTATAACTACCTTTCATATGGAATCCATGGTTCTCAAAGAAATGAGACAATGGTGGATTCTTCAATGTCTTCACATCGTTGTGTTGATCTTGTCTATGATCATGTAAAACTGTTTATGTGGAATATCCCTCTTCATACATTATGAACTAATATGATCATTAATATATGAATAGGAATATCATTAGGAATATAATAGAAACATATATGGTACATTGTGGTACCATGGTATTCCTATTCTCAATGTACCTCTTACAATTTCTATTGCTACTATAATATGTGGTACTATTAGGAATATAATAGAAATTACATTAAAACATATATCTGGTATTATTATTGCTCACCTAATAATTCTATAAAATAGAAATATATGTTGTATCAATGTGGTACTATGATCACTTAAAACTGTTTATGTGGAATATCCCCATTTATATATTATGAATGAATAGGAATATCATTAGGAATAGCACAGAAACATATGGGGTGTAATTGTATTGATAGAAATTACAAAATATAATTGTATAAATGTGGTATTAATATCAGTAGGAATATCATATCAATTATTTCTATATAAAATACGTATTAAATATATTACTGTTAGTGCCAATTTATACATATTTATATATTACAGTACTAATATATGTGGTACTATTACTCGGCCACTTGGGATGCAATATCGCCAGGACTTTGAGCCACTGTCGCATCTTCGCAGGAGCAACTCGGAGCGATGAATTCGGCTGCCCATGGCGAAGCGCGCGGTTGGTTTTAGAAGAAGATTTTGGAACTAGGTCAACTAGGCTATATATATAATAATATATATATAATAATATTTATATATATGTAAACTAATATTTATATATAATAATATATATATTTATATATATATATACACATATATTTATAATAATATATATATATATAGAATATAATATAATATATGTAATATAATATAATATAATATAATATGATATAATAATATAATATAATATAATATAATATAATTTAATATAAAATATTTAATATAATATAATATAATATAATAATATAATATAATATTTAATATAATATATGTAATATAAAATAATATAATATAATATATACATATATAATGTAGATATTTGAAATGATATTTGTGGATTTGTTTCTGATAATTAAACCAACTGAGAACTGATGGAACTGATGGGCACCACCAAAAGCTCAGCGCATCACATGGGGATGGGGTCAGAAGTTGCTGAGCCCAGGGGCCCCAGGGGGACAGGAGAGAGGTGATCGTTTTTTTCCAAGTTTGTTCCATCAAGAGATTTCCGTTGAGATACCTGATATACCTGATATACCTGGATTTTGTTCAACCAGAAATCACCATCAATATACCGTTGATTAGATGAATGAGGGTAGTCCATTGCCAGACTAGAATACTGATGGTAGTTAGCAGAATCCATACACGGGTGCCAACGGCAAGGTATGCCAAAGTATGATTGTGACCATTTGGTTTGTCCGAAAAAACCTGCTCCTAAACTCTACGGAAGTTTTGGGGAACATCCATCATTTCCAGGTGTATACACAACCTGGAGGCCTGGAGGCGACATGATACATATACAGCAATATATATATATATATATGCACCAGGCCCTGCCACCCCCCCCCCTCCCCCCCCCCATATGGGATGGGTCCCATATACTGGTCCCATATGAGATCTTCCCCCTCCCCCCCTGTGGTGTGGTGGGGGTGTGGCACTGTCCCCCTCCCCCCCCTGTGGTGTGGTGGATGGGTCCCATATACTGGTCCCATATGAGATCTTCCCCCTCCCCCCCCTGTGGTGTGGTGGGGGTGTGGCACTGTCCCCCTCCCCCCCCTGTGGTGTGGTGGATGGGTCCCATATACTGGTCCCATATGAGATCTTCCCCCTCCCCCCCCTGTGGTGTGGTGGGGGTGTGGCACTGTCCCCCTCCCCCCCCTGTGGTGTGGTGGGGGTGTGGTATGGTATGGTGGGTATGTATGGTGTGTATGGTCGGTCTGGTATGGCATGTTTGGAAAGTATGGTATGTTTGGTATGTATGGTAGGTATGGTATGTATGGCATGAGTGGTTGGTATTGTATGGATGGTAGGTATGGTATGTAAGTCTGTTGGATATGGTATGTTTGATATGACAGTATGTATGGTCTGTATGGTATGTATGGTTACTATGATGGGTATGGAATATGTCCTATCTAAGGTAGGTATGGTATGTATGGCATGTATGCTTGCTATTGTATGTATGCTATTGTATGTATGGTAGGTGTGGTAATTACATTTCATATGTATGGTATGTATGGTATGTATGATAGATATGATAGGTATGGTATGCATGGCATCATTGACATGTATGGTAGGTACGGTATATGTTCAACAGAGGTAGTGTTGTCAGAGTACACAGGTAGTAAACAGGAAGTAGATACAGTAGATACATAGCACATGTATGTATGACTATAGGTAGCACGTAGGTACTTTGAAGGAGTATGTGTGCTACGTAGGTCGCCTAAAAGGTAGCATGTACCTAGTAAATGCGAGGCTGGTAGTCAGAAATGCTGCAAAGACCTAGCAAATACGACGCTGGACCTCAGAAATGCTGCCAATAGCTTGCAAAAAGAAGGGAATTGGGGCTACTACCTGGGGGCCCAACCCCTGGGGGGGGGGGGGTGGAGAGACGGAGGACGGGACCATATATATGTATACATACATACATATATATATATATACATATACATATATATATATGAATTATATATGTATATAATAGATTCAGGGTGGACAGGATGTCCTTAAGCAAAAATTGAGGGTCGTCTTCAGCAGGTCTGCTGGTGTTTATTTGTTGAAGCCTGACCTGCTGCTTGTGCGTCGTAGAGACTCATGTGTGAATCTGTTTGAATGGTTTACGAATGCGGAGAAGCTAGCTTTGAGACGGGCGAGATGCCAGGGCATTCCAGTCTATCTACATATAGCTATATAATTTCATGTTTATGCACGTATATCTACATATGTGTATGTTGTGTACATGCATATGCATACAGTATATATATATAATAACTTTATGTATTAATATGCAAACATACACATTTTTTACACATAAAGAAACCATCATGATTTAAGTGTTCAACGTCCAATCGAAACCACTGCCATAGGTCATGGCTGGCTGCATTGCTGGTTTGCTGAAGATCGAGGGGCTGCTAGGAGCCGTGGCGAAACGTGGAGCCGTGGCGTTTTGACCCCCATCGACTGCAACAATGACAGCAATTAGTACTGGAATGATATTGTGAACATTAAGGTTATAGTATGTATATAGAATTACATATGTATATATAATATGTAATTATATATATAATATCTATGTAATTATATAATATATATATATATATGTCATTATATATATATATATGTCATTATATATATAATTATATATATATATTATGTAATTATATATATATACGTAATTATATATATATTATATGTAATTATATATATATATATATTATATACGTAATTATATTAATTTATATATATATATATTATTATTATTATTTTATTATCATTATTATTATTATATATATACGTAATTATATTAATCTATATTTATATATAATTACAATATGTAATTTTATTTTTAGATATTATTTACATGTGTTCTCATCTGTTCTGAGAGATGTCCAGACTGTCCAGTGACCTGGCGTACTGGTCATTTGACCCACAACCACACGGCCGGCCGCCTTTTGGCTCGCCGAAAGACACCGATCCAGGTTTGGGGCAGAATTGGGGCTCACGTCCGCAAGAAAATGATATACAAACAGCATATACTAACATAGCCATTGAACATGGCCCATTTATAGTTGATTTACCCATTAAAATTGGTGATGTTCCATAATTATGTTAGTTTGCCAGAGGGTTACACCTATGAAATTAGCAAGTTGAAGAATACTCTGAGCAAGGTCTGGGTAGACCTTGACTGTTTCATAGATGAGTTATGAGTTCTGTTGTTTGTGTTGATTTGTTTTTCCGACGCAACGTTACTATTACACATGATCAAGCGCAACATGTCTTTTATGAGCCTTTTTCTGAGGGCTATTCTTTGATGATATCTGATGTCAGCATCTCTTGGCTGTCACATGCCATTGCGTGAATCACGACGTGTTGCGTCAGCGCTGCCCGGTGCAGCGGCTCTGTTGATCTCCGCATGGTGTTGGACGGCCATCCCAGCTGCGGCCAAAGTGCGGCGCAATGCACCGAAGACAGGCAGAGCCATTCGGGTTGCTGGAGGGTGCTTAAAGTCCCCTCCAGCAATCTAAACTGGGACTGGAAAACGATGGTTTTTATGCATGTTTTCCCTATTGAAAATAGATATAAATATATATATATACTTGTACATAATTATATATATAGTATATTTCATTGGCAGCTTAGATTTCCAGTACCCCACAATGGTGGCCGATGAACTAAGCTTCATGCCGATCCCCATGGGCGGTGAGTTCAGCCATGTGTTGGATATTTTTGGATATGGGATATGGTCTATGCTCCAGAACACGATCAGACCATATGAGACCTAGTTGGTGTTTATTTTGAACCTTACATTATTCATATCTGAATACTTGTTCAATGATTTGTGGGATGGGGATGGATGAGATTGAAACAAAGCACAAACAAAGTCTTGTTGAAACCATCAACGACACTGGCCACGACAATCCCCAGGTCACTCTGGCCCGTTGCTGATGGATCGACCCGTCCGTGAGAACTGCTCCGTGACCGAGACTTGGACTCATTGAGGTCGCCTTCTGAAACGACCTCACCATGTGTGGTTGGCATTGGATCAAGTTGTTGGCGAAACCAAGCAGCTTTGATTTTCTTCATGTTTTTGTATAATTAATATACTATCAAGATGGGTTGGTATGGGAAATGATTGCATTCCAACTTCTAACAGCGATTGTTGCAGGTAAATGATTGCACTGAAACAGCGATTGTTGCACTGATGAAAGTCCGTATCTGACCCATCATCGATGAGATGGTCGGGTTGGTCAACGCCCAACAACCCCAACATAGACCATTCTGTCCATGTTTCTCGTGTAAACTACCTGTTCAGAAACTCCGATCCACAGCCAAAATGGCCCAGTGTTGCCACGGTTCATGGATTGATGTCAATCAAAGGGTAGAGCACACCATCGATATTGCCCACACCCCCGCCCTACAAAATAAATCGGGTTTTCTGAGTAGATGTTCCCAGAAACAAATCCATTGAAAGCTTATTTTCAATGATTTACCCATGAAATGGGATGAGGATTCCCCATAGAAAAAAAAAGTATCTAAAAAAACAACTATTTTTCAGATTGGTTGAACACAGCCATCAGTTGATTAAGATATGGTTCCAAGTTCGAACCCCCCAAACGTTTGCTTGTTTGGTTGATGATACACCGAAGTTTTTGTGACTTAGCCCATCTTACCCCAGTTTGATTGCTTCAATCCCATTAAGATCCCAGTAACATCCCACTAAATTCCCATTTAAATATCATATATACACATACCACTAAGTTCCCATTAAAATCCCAGGAAATCACCATTAAACCACCACTAAATCACCATTAAATCACCATTGAATCACCATTGAATCAGCATTGACTCACTATTAAACTCCCATTAAAATCCCATGTTCTTCAAGTTTTTCCAAGTCAGGTCTTCTGGGACTTGGACAACCTCATGCCCTGTAGCAACGTGTCGCTGCGCTCCTACTGCCGTGCGCTGGCACGGCGCTTCGTTGGACCGGCGCAGTTTCGTCGCTTGGTGACTCTGTTCATGTTGAAAGTCCTTGGCGATGTCCTCATGACTTCCCCTTTGACCCTCTTTTGTACATTACATATATATATATTATTATATAATTATATATATATATTATAGATAAATATATATATATATAAATATATATATATATTGATATTTGGTACTGTATATATATATACTGATATTTGATACTGTATATATATGTATATATATATATATGGGTGAAGGCTGGGGGTTCCCCGGAAGCCAATTGCATTTTATTTGTATGGATATGGAACATGTTGATTTTACACTGTGTTTTACAGTGTTTTATGCTCTTCTCTCAAATTGTTCGATCAGTAAAAGTTGCAATGTCGGCGCGGATAAACTTGACGTTTGTCCGCGCAGAAAAATGATAAATTTACATCTTCCATGGATGGCCGAACATGTGTGCAACATCGCAACCATTGGAATTGCGGTTTCATGTATTTTTGGTCGTTTTGTTGACAACTAGAAAATGTCATAATTCAATGGAGAACCATGGACGAAATGAACATCACACCTTTTTCATTTTCACGTCCACAAAGGCTTTTTGAAGCAGATGCTTGGAGCGAGAGCACCATTGGTCTTCTCACGGTGCAGTCGCAGTAACAACGGCTTCAATGAAGCTACATCCTCAAGGCTTCAACAACTCTCAATCCAACGCGCTCCACATGACGTTATTACACCCTCCCCACCCCCCACCCCCCTTCTGTAAAAACAATGATACTTACAACGTAACAACATCTCAAGAAGCAAACATCTCAAGGTTTCAACAAGTCTCAATCCACACAGTCCACATGACGTTATTACACCCCCCCCACCCCCCCACCCCCCCATCTCTATACCATAATGACGTTTATAGTACATGACAAAACTGAGGGTTCCTGGAAGCTCCGTGGAACCCCCAGCCTTGACCCTATATATATATATCACTATGTGGTGGTTTTGATGGATGGTTGGATAACTCCTCGTGACCGTTCCACTACAAATTGGACATGCTTTGGGGCATATGAAATTGCCATTCACACCCGATTATTTTAGATCCACATACTTCAGTGTATACACATACTGGCATCAGTGTAATGAAGGATTTTGCGCAAACTTCAGAAACACGTCCGTGTTGGAGACAAGGGTGCCATTGCAGACAGGAATCTGATTTGTTCCACCACGTACTAGAGTTCTTACTTGTTTGAAACTGTTTTGATTCCCCTGATGAGCAAAATTCATTTGTTTTGCATGGTGTATGAGGAAGTAGGGTCATGTACCAAAGATCAATAAAATGGATTTAACTATATAATCTTAATGATACTACTGTGGAAAAGAAGAATATCAACCCCCCTGTTATCCCTTTATATATTGGGTTGGGTTGTATACCTATATGCTATCATCACCAAAGGCCACCCCCACCATCAACATCAATCACCATTAAATCACCGTTACATTACCATTGAGTCACTATGAATCACGCTAATGCAATAATAATTAGATCTATATAATTAGCATTATAGTACAACCATGTTAATGTATTAGATTTGTAATATTAAGTATCATTATAACATATTATAACCATGTTAATGCATTATATTACAACCACATTATCAGTTTTCATGATCATAATATTACCATTATTACCATAACATTACACTAACATTACCAATAATGTTTTTACCGCATTACCATTACAATCATATTTGTCCTGCTTGCTGAGGTCTTTACGCCAACACGCGCACACGTGAGAGGCTGTACTTGGCTCAGGGCAGTGGCGCGGAACCCAGGTGTCGTGGCTCGATCCCACTTCCTTAACGAAAATGGCCCAAATTTGGCTGAGATAGGAGCATCATCTGCAACTGATTTACCAATGTTTAACATGGCGGAATGTTGTGACATGTTGTGACATGTTGTGACACTGTCCGGCCTAACGCTTTAGCACTTGTGACATTTTGTCAGTTCGTGCAAGATCATGAGCAAAAGCAAGGGTTATGATGTTTAAACGTGAGAGAACATGGAATTACCAGAGGCCCACGAATGCCATCCCAACCAAGCGCTAGCCGCTAGGATGTAGTTGACAAATTATAAGGACAAACACCTTGCTAAAAGTGGTGGTTTGTGATCTGTGGGGGAAACTATCCCCAATTCCCAACAATCATTTGTTTCTTCACGCTTTGTAACCTTATTCAAACAAAACAGCCAGATATATTTTGATTATATGAGTTTCAGTTGGCTGAAACCACCACGCAGATCTTAAGTTAAAGGCACCGTTTCATTTCGTCCGGCATTCGTCCGGGAAGGTTCTGTTTCGATGATGCTCCAAAGATTGAGTTCGACGGGACAGACAACATACCAAGCAATGCTGATGACTTGCTGGGCATTGTTCAGGGTCGCTTGACTACTGGCGACCAACAGAGATTTGGGTTTGTTTAAGGTGAATGTTGATCTTCCCGAATGGAAGAATCCACGATTTGGGGCAAACCTCTAGGGAATTGTTTTTAATTATTTGTTTTATTGTTTTGGAGCCCCCTGAAGCAATCCAAGTTGCGAATTTGGACTCGGAGCGCGCTGCAACTACCAACCACTCAATTGTATCCCGATATGTTTCATGTGACTCGAATCATATTCATGCTACATCACATTGCAATATTTTTGATTTCTAATGGTTTGCACTCATCGTAATTCAAATCTACGGCTGTGTTGCTGCTTTTGTGGAGTTTATACAATTGTGTAATATTGTGAAATCACATTTGGTGATTCCCATGTTTTGTTGGTTTAATCATCAATGGCTGGCTCGAAATTCTCAATCCTTCACAATGGATGCTTTTTGGTACTCAGACATGACACGTTTTGTTGGCCCATCGACAAGCCAATTTTGACCCACCCGGAGATTCTTTTGAATATTCCCCTATAAAATGGGTTGTCAAACTCGGGTACAGCACCAAACTCCATTGACTCGGAAAATTCAGCACTTTATCACTTCGTTGATTGGCAAAAATGGCAAGACATAAAGTGAGAGACCCGAAAAATCCATATCTACACTGAAGATCATATTTTCCGTATCAAAATTGTCACTGCAGGTTTCAAATGTGTTTCATGTTTGACACATTTTTTTATTTACAATATTTGACATGATGATCCTCAATGACTCAACCAGCAAGTATAGGTAGAGCATGTTAGATCAAATGTTTATATAATGTGTTACCCACGAAACCAAGGCTAAGATGCTGTTTCCCTTATGTTCCCCTAACCAAAAAATATTTTCACTGTTGGAGTCATGTCAAATATCCGATGTTTTGGATGGTCAAAAACAACTAAAAAACCCTTTCCCTATATGCAACCACCATAAAAAGCAAACAGATACCGTAGAAAAGTACCCTCTGTGAGTTGTATAGACGATAGGTCCCCAAAGCACACTCTTGGGACCTATCATTGTATGGGTTTACTCATTTATGTCATGTTGTGTCCTGCCAGTTGTCAATAGATCATTTTGGAACTTTCCGACTTGTTTGGCTCAAGATACTGTGAAAACAGTTTGCCTTAAGCTGCCGCCGCTGGGCCGTCGGTGGTCAGTTTAACTGGTTAACAGCCCCATAGTCATCGGCCGTAAAGGCCTTCCATATACCTGTAGGCGTATATAGGTAGGTAGACCTGAGCCATCTACTTGCCTGCGCCACGCCATTGCCTGTTTGGATGTATCCCCACTTTTTTATACTTTTTTCGGTTTGCTAGCAAAAGGGGTATCCTTCATCTTGCAGTGTGACATGTGAGGTCGCCAAAGCCTCACTACAAGAGAAGCCAACTCAGGACAGAGGGTTTCTTACCGGATCGGGTGTTTGCAGCGCGGATTCCAATCCGATAGACCAACCTCCATTTTTTGGTAAGTAGAAGTTCTGCATGTCAGTTAGAAGTTGTGCACAAAGGATAACCTTCCGACACGCTCTTGGTGCTACGCTGTCAGTCAGCTTTCTGTCGTTACTTGCCACATGCTCTGGATGCCACGCTGTCAGCTTTCTCTTGTTACTTGCCAGAGCCTCCGCTGAAGTGGGGTGGGAGGAACGATGGCAAATCCATACATGTCAATCGTTTCCATGGCTGCTGAGAACAAGAAGCAGAAGAAGATGACGGTCTTGATATGTGGCTTCCGGGAAGCAAAATGATTCGATCGGCCAATGGCCCTGGCAATGGTTTGAAATACGAAGTGTCTCTCACCAGCACGGTCTTCTGCTTCGACTCAAAGACCCTCACCACGATGAAGGAGTTGATCAAGAAGGTCGGCATCACAGAGATCCATGAATCCATGGCTATCAAAGCTTTGCTGCTTGTTCGCCGAGCAAGTTGGTGGCGAAGGGAGCATCTTTGTAGCTGGCCACCCGGTCAGATTTGGTGATGAAGGCCAACATTGCACTCACGGCGATCCCACATTTCAAGTGGGTTTGGAGCATCAGGAAGGAGGGCCACAAGCTTCTTCCTGTAGGCACTTCTTTTTGTGGCAAGCGTGTGCCGTTTTTAATTCTAGAGTAATTACCCCACCATCGAATCAAGTCATAGATAGAGGGGACAGGAATTCAATTGGTGATGCTGCTGGGAACCGGCAATTGTGTTCAATAGGGTCAACTGGCTTGATCTCATGTTGAGAATATTTAGTGTTCCAGCATTTGCGGTTCGACAAGTGTTTTGGTTGTGATTCAGTTCCACGCTGTTGGAGGTGTTGGATTGCTGAGCTTCAAGCAGCTCACCCTCGCGGCTAGCCGGCAGCACCAGCTGCCCATGTAGGCCAGGATCGTTGGCAATGAATTTCGATTGGTGCCACTGAATTTCGATTGTTGGCAATTTTGATTGGACGCTCGAGGTTCATCCAAAAGAATTTGACTGATGATTCATGAAGTTCACAGGGGGTGCAAAGAAGTGCGGCTGATTGCCATCATGTGTTTGTTTCTGGGAAATTGATTCAAAATTTGACTTCATCATTTGATTTTCAATAGGATCATTTGGACAATCCTGCAATTTACGGGCAAAGCAAGAAACAGTCGAGCATTGCCAGAAGCACTTCGCAATGGGAACTAATTTCAATGTCAACTGCGCTGTTTGGTGAAGCACATCACGTTCAGGACATGCTGACCTGTCTCATTGGCAAGCAACCAGACGTCATCCTGAAGCAGGACAATGAGGCGGTCATTAAGATAGTGCGAAGCAGGTACTCAGTTAAACTGCGACACTGTGATCGAGTTCGCAGGGTCAACATTGCATCGGTGTCAAGTCTGTTGGAAGAGACGGAACAATGCATTGCACTAGAGTATTGCAATACCCACTTGCAGCTGCCAACTATTCCGGCCAGAACTAGTGGAGTGAGAAGCAGTGGTGAAATATGGTGAAAGAATACCTGCTTATAGGCAACCACTTTCAACTTGTCTCAGGCCATGAACACTTTAACATTTTCTAAGAAATCTACTTTATTGATTCACAAGTGAAGTGAAATGACACCGCCGAATGCTTCATCTTGACACTCCAGATCTGTGATGGCGATGTGTGTCCCGCCATATTGTGATGTTGCAGCTCTGCGCAATGAGGTTAAAACATGCGGGCCAATGTCACTGCTTATTGCTTTAGGACCATTGAATTGACTCAATTTGGACATATGTGCGGCTCCTTTGGGCCAGCTCAGTTTTCAGAATCATCTGTCGTTTTTTTCACGGCAATTCTCCGATCTAACCCATTGTCCTCTGAGGTTGATGCCATGCTAGTGGAAGCGCTGTCCGATCCAGGAATTGCAAACAACATGACAGTCACTCGAGGGGGCAGCAATCAGACACCCTAGAAAAGTACCTTCTGCGAGTTGTATGGACGATAGGTCCCCAAAGCGCACTCTTTGGGACCTATCATTGTATGGGTTTACTCATTTATGTCATGTTGTGTCCACTAGATCATTTTGGAACTCTCCGACTTGTTTGGCCCAAGATGCTGTGAAAACAGTTTGCCTTAAGCTGCCGCCGCTGGGCTGTCGGTGGTCAGTTTAACTGAAAACACCCATAAAACCCTATGAACCCCCATGCAGCCTCCATAAAACCAGCATAAAACCACCATAACACCATTATATTTTTGAACCCTGTGTAAAACATATAACCCCCCTTATCAAAAATTCGAGCAACTCTTCGAATTCCCTGTGATCATCCCCCCCAGGTCGCCCAAATGCATTGGCAGTGGCGGTGTCCAAGCGAGACCAGCAGAAGCTCCGCTCCTGGGCCAAGGCTGCGGGGCTCTTTCTGCACGTGCCAGGCGCCGAAAAAATGGAGTGCTTTGTAACATGTGCAACTGAGGTATAGTCCAATACATCCCAATGATGTGTATACTTCAATAGTGGTGTTTTTTGATATGAATATATGTGTTTTTTTTTACGTTGGGAGATACTGAAGGAGGCATGTAAGTGTGCAACTCAGCGATAGGTAGCGTGATTCAAGTTGGGTACTGGGTCCTGTTTTGCACTTTTTGTGGAAAGGGTTAAATCCATCACATTCCATCAGCACAAGAACATAAACTTGTTGAAGGGGATAAATTGAAACGTGCTAACGTTTTTAAGTCTTCAAAATACTTCAAGTCAACCTAGGTGATCTTTGGATAGTTTGCTGACCAATCGACCACAATTTCAGACCCTTGATCAAAGCCTGTGGAACGCAGGTGACAAAGATCGAGCCGGCGACACGCAGCGACGGGTGCTCTACGATTGGAGGTCCTACCTGGCGTCCTTCAACGCGCAGATCACGGTGGTTCCGGCCACCTTTCAGAGCGCGGACCAGGCGATTCACCACGCTGTGCTGAGAGAGGTGCGGGACTGGGGAGGCGGACCTTGATGGGTGTATCGCCAGTCTGATCGCCCGAAATGTCCCAGAATGGAATCTGAAACCAAACACATAACTGAACCGGGTTTGGGATTTTGGGGGTTCAATGTTAGCTGGAAGGGTTTCTTTGGCAGGTGGCCCAGATAGTTTCTACCTTGCAAAGGTGGATGTGATCCTGGATTGCCGTCACAGCTTAACCTTTGAACTATGTCGTTTTAGCCTTGCAGTTGTTTTGGTGCTGGTTCCATGTCATTGTCATCCATCAATGGTGTAAGTGAAGTTGACATGAAGCAACGTTATTAAACAAATTGTTTGCTGGTGTCAATTCTGATTTCCATTGTGCTAGCACCAGGTTCTTCAAAAAAAAACAGCCATTGACCAAAAAGTTTCAGCATGCACCGGAAGCCCCCGGACCCCCTGTATCAATGTTGCTAATCATCACGAATGGCTGTTTTTTTGGAAGGTTCCGCCAAGCGCTGCTTTCACACAACATTGAAATTGTGGGACCAGGGGTGTCTAACTGTCCTGGCTAAAGTTCAAGTTAGATGGCTGTTTTTTTTAAGAACCCGGTACCTAGTACAGCCAGGAATAATCACAATTATGCGTCCGTCATGTATTGGAAACGACCGGGTGATATGGAACAGCAATCATAAATATGCTGGCAGAATTTTTACCGTTCCAGAAAGCATACATTTTCCACACATTGACATGACGTTGCGCATTTGCACAGATGGGGTGGGGTGGGGTGGGGTGGGGCAATAACTTTGAATTACATTTGCACAGAGACACAGACACAGACACAGACAGACACACACGCACACACACACACACGTCATGCTATGCTACTGGACGTTCCCTTGGACTTGCGCAGTGAAGTGGGGCAATAATGTTCAATTGCACTTGCACAGGCACACACATACACATTATGCTACGCTACTGGATGTTCGCTTGCACTTACACACACACACACGTCATGCTACGCTACTGGACGTTCTCTTACACTTACGCACACACACACACACGTCATGCTACGCTACTGGACGTTCTCTTGCGCTTGCACGCGCACACACACACACACGTTGTGCTACGCTACTGGACGTTCTCTTGCACTTGCACACACAGTATATAATATATAATATATACGTCAACATCTTTCATCATGTTCACTCCTTTCAATGGAGGTGGAAAAACCAGATGACTTATGATGACTTGTTGGAAGTCACTTTGCGGGACTGAGGGCCTCTTGAACCACACAGACTCAGTTGGAAGTCACTGCCATACGAAATTTCATGAGATGGCAGCAAAGCACTTCCGCTTTCCACAAGAGCAAAAATGATGGAAGGGCTGTCGAGACAAGAGTTGCAGACCCTAGTTTGGAGACTTCCTTTTTCAACTAAAGATTATTGTTTCGTTATGGCGAGAATAATACTTTGGCACAACAATGCGGACAGTAAACATTCCGCCGGGATAGATATGATGCCAATATGCACTCAATATGCCAATATGCAGAGATTATCTGAATTAATCAACATATTTAGAAACATGTACATACTCGGTCATGATTTTCCAGCATGTCTCACTCCTGCTGTTTCTTTTTGGTGCAGATCAACGATCCCAAGCATCGCGCCTCGCGTGGCGTGCTCTGCGTGATCTCCAATGACGTCGACTTTTTAGAGACGCTCAAAGCGGCGCGAAGAAACGGTTGGAAGACGGCAACTGTGTCTGGACGGCCTTGGAAATCCTATTGGAAGGTGGGGTTCCAAAACAACAACTAAATTGTGTTTTAACCAACTTAGCTAGTTGATGTAGTAAGTTAATTAGGGTTTTAGTTATGGTACAATATGGTACAATATGGTACAATATGGTACAATATGATATCATATAATGGCAAATAAACAGCGTATAACATCCAATAACTATGAGGGCCACCAGGTATCAGGTTTAAATGGATGTTTTACTGGACTTGTATATACACATATAATATTCAGATAATTATTATAATGTATATAGATGGGAAAGTCAACTATGGATGATATACTGTGTGAGAGGCCTACCGGTAATTTGACAGTTTCACGATGTTCAATGGGTAAATCATCGAACTAAATCGGCCATGGTTTCCATTGCCATGTTTGATTCTGCCAGAGGGTAGTCATGTCTAAACTGGGAATGTCAGCATCAAAGATAGGCTGTATGGATCATGGGTCATCATCCTCCGAATTCTGGGACCACCCAATGCCAATGCAGTACTCAGCGAAATCCACTTTTGCCGTTAGCACAATTTAAACCCATCAGTACTCTAACAGAGCATACCAACCTGCCCTCCTTGCGCCCTAGGTGTGTAGCTCCGAGAGCCGGCTGCGACATGGTCGGTCCATAGGTTGGAGCAATTGCTGCGAACTCGCTGCTCAACAACCATGCCAAGCAGATGACTTGGAGATTTTCTGCAACAATCCCGCGCAAAAGAGACGGTCGGTAATGACCGATATACAATTTGTGCAGGTTCGTTTGAGATTGCCTTCAACAACTCTTTATTTCTTTATTGAGGTTGATGTCAATGTTTAGGGATATATCTGCACAAGAAGAACAACACATATATTTTAAGATGATCCAAGCTGAAAGAAATGCAAATTCCTGGATATGGTGTCGAACATGTCGAAGCAATAACAACATGGTTAACATCTTCAGTCGCACTTCAAACAAAAGCCACTGCACCGCCGCACCGCTCCAATGAAGGATGGCAAGGGGATGCAACAGTTTCTTTCACCCGGTGCTGTGTTTCCTAAAGTTTAAAGGCAATGAATGGCTCCACAAGATGTTTCACTTCGGGTGGCCCATGGTGCAGGGTATAAGCCAATGACTTGGTCCCCCATATCCCGCTGTTTTTGAATGTGTTTGATATACCCTTGAAACCCTGGGGCGCTTGATTTTCTACACTTTGTATCACTTTGTCATGGTTTTGTTTTTCACTGTTCATTGCTGTCTCCATGGTGACACATGGATATCCCAGGTGCTTGGAGACATGGATGGGTTCAAACTACCAGCCATAATGCCAAGCAACCGTGGGTTAGGAGGGAAATCACACATATTTGGGACTATAGACTGGGGGTTTGACCATATTTGAAAACATAGAATGGGGGTGTTTAATATTTTGGGGGATTTGATGTTTCTCTTTTTTAATCGGCCATTTTGCTATCGATCTTCTGGAAAAAGAAGCGACGGCTAGGAGTTGCCGTCTTCATTGTCGTGACGCTGATCCACTCCACCATGATTGCAGCGAAGATGGGCTTCGAGATCACGAGGTCGTGCGAATTCGATGTTTTTTTTGGTATTGACGAAGGTATCTATAATATTGGTGAGTAACATGGAATATTATGAATTACTATTTTGATAAAGGCTGTTTTGACTCCAGGCTCAATGAAGCATCTCGCTGCGGCCTAGCAAAGTGAATACCAGCTAGGTCAGAGCTGTCAGGAAAAAGCAAAGTCAGCGCCGGCTTCTGTGCCATAGGTAGTCATTATATATACCAAGTCCCGACATCTGACCAGAAAGTCCGCACAGGCTTTGGCACCATGGAAGCAACCGGTGTAAAGGTCAAAAGCTTCCATCAATGCAACAGCAAAACAACGGCATAGAGCCGGTGCATACTCACTTTTTGAGGGCAGTTGTTCGCCAAAACCCAGTTTCTGTGCGGCCAATTGCGACAGAGGTTGGCAATTCTGTACGGATCCTGCCCTGATGCAAATGAAACAGCATGCGCGGTATATTAACTGTCAAGAGAGTCGTGCGCTTGGCTTGATCCCAAAAGCCCTTGAGCAAACCTCACACACTGTACTTGAGGGAAAGCCATCAATGCTCTCAGAGGAGTGCGCCATATCGAAGCAGAGGAGCCACATTGAGCACCATGTGGATGTTGGTCAACTCCTTTGCCTCTCACCTGCGACCTTTTGATTCACAAGGTGGACCTCCAAGAAAAGCAATAACATGCCGCTGTCGAATGGCGTTCAACCAAAACTCGCAAGTCTTTGGGTTTGTGGCATCCTTTCACTCTTTACTGACAACCACATCCATGGAAACAACGTACAAGATGTACTGGTCCTGCTTTGCTGCAAGAATGTCCATGAAAAATTGCACATCTCCTCTTCTTCTTCTGCCTGGAAACATCACTTGGCCCACCAAGCCCCATGAATGTCATCAATGATGTCATATTTAGAACATGTTTGATGGCTTTGAATCCGGCTTATCAACTATAGATGGCTTATGATGGCTTGAAGCAGATGGCACCCAGTTCAGTTCTTCGGATGCCTGAGGTATTTTCATATAACGATATATAAAAATGGAACAAAGCGCGCTTCCACAACTACGTTCTCACGATTCCAGAACCAAAATCACGTGATTCCAGAACCAAAGCCGGCGCGCTTCCCCAACCAAAGCCGGCGCGCTTCCACAACTACATTCTCACGATTCCACAACCACACTCTCACGATTCCACAACCAAAATCTCAGGATTCCACCACAACCAAGCTCTCAGGATTCCACAACCAAACTCTCAGGATTCCACAACCACACTCTCAGGATTCACAACCACACTCTCACGATTCCACAACCAAAATCTCGGATTCCACAACCAAACTCTCAGGATTCCACAACCAAACTCTCAGGATTCCACAACCACACTCTCACGATTCCACAACCACACTCTCACGATTCCACAACCAAACTCTCAGGATTCCACAACCAAACTCTCAGGATTCCACAACCACACTCTCACGATTCCACAACCACACTCTCACGATTCCACAACCAAACTCTCAGGATTCCAAAACCAAACTCTGAGGATTCCAAAACCAAACTCTGAGGATTCCACAACCAAACTCTCAGGATTCCACAACCACACTCTCACGATTCCACAGCCACACTCTCGCGATTCCACAACCAAACTCTCAGGATTCCACAACCAAACTCTCAGGATTCCACAACCAAACTCTCAGGATTCCACAACCACACTCTCACGATTCCACAACCACACTCTCACGATTCCACAACCACACTCTCACGATTCCACAACCAAAATCTCAGGATTCCACAACCAAACTCTCAGGATTCCACAACCAAACTCTCACGATTCCACAACCAAACTCTCAGGATTCCACAGCCACACTCTCACGATTCCACAACCACACTCTCACGATTCCACAACCAAACTCTCAGGATTCCACAACCAAACTCTCAGGATTCCACAACCACACTCTCACGATTCCACAACCACACTCTCACGATTCCACAACCAAAATCTCAGGATTCCACAACCAAACTCTCAGGATTGCACAACCAAACTCTCAGGATTCCACAACCAAACTCTCACGATTCCACAACCACACTCTCACGATTTACAAGACATTCAGTAAATCCCCCACCCCCGCAAAACAATAGATCAAACTTAAGTATTCAGCAAGCAGCCCCGCTTCTTAGGGAAGACTACCGCTACTTACTTTCATTATAGAAGATTTTTGACCAGATACAAGATACCTAAAAATCCACCACCCCGGCAAAACAATAGGTCAAATTTAAGTATTCAGCAAGCAGCCCCGCTTCTTAGGGAAGACTACCGCTACTTACCTTCATTATACAAGATTCTTGACAAGTTACAAGACATTTAAAAATCCGCCACCCCCGCAAAACAATAGATCAAAATTAAGTATTCAGCAAGCAGCCCGGCTTCTTAGGGAAGACTACCGCTACTTACTTTGATTCCAGAAGATTCTTGACAAGTTACAAGATATTTAAAAATTCCTCACCCCGGCAAAACAATAGATCAAATTCAAGTATTCAGCAGGCAGCTCCCGCTACTTACTTTCATTATAGAAGATTCTGAACAAATTACAAGAAACTAAAAAAATCACCCACCCGCGCAAAACAATACATTAAATTCAAGTCTTCAGCAAGCAGCAACCGCTCCTTGGGGAAAACTACCGCCACTGTACTTACTTTCAGTATCGAAGATTCTTCACAAGTTACAAGACATTTAAGAATCCCCCACCCCCGCAAAACAATACTATGAGAGACGCAGCGAAAAAGATGCGACGGAACTTGGGTTAGAGCAGTTCATGTCTTGGTTTGGTTCATATCCCTTTTGGTTTTGGAATAACATGTTTGGTTATGGAATAATTGTTGGTTGAGGAATCATACGGTTTGGTTAAAGAATATTTCGTCTTAGTTGTGGAATAATCGTTGGTTGAGGAATAACACTTCATGGTTGAAGAATAATACGTTTTGGTTATGGAATAATCCTTGGTTGAGGAATAATACGTTTTGGTTATAGAATAATATGGTTTGGTTATGGAATAATATGTTGACCTATAAAAATGGCACTTGTTGTTGGGTAGCCCCTATTTTCAGACCCATGTGCTGTAGATAGGACTTTCACAAATTCAGCTAGAATCTCATCGTCTCCATAGTGCTGAGAACATCCCAGAAACATCTCGTCACTGAGCAAGCAGGCTGGCCAAAAAGGTGGAATTAAATTTTAGGATCTTTAGGAAAATGAGGATGTAAATTTAACTTGTACAACTGTAGTTAACCAATGAACACTGGATTTGGGTTTGCCGGTTTGCCCGAAAATAGGGGATTAGCTTCACTTTCTGGCCATTGCAAAGGGAAAACGAGGTTTGAAACCCTTGGATGCTGTTTTTTCCCAACCAACAATAACGGATAAATTCTGACGGCGACCAAAACCCCCATTTGTTTCATGGCGATCAACGCGCTTGAGGCATTTCCCAAAGAGCCGCGATCTCTTCGTGAGCCAGCAGCTTGTCCTCAGATGATGGTCATGTCAAAAGGGAAAAAACAAAATCAATCAATGGGTAATGGATGGTAATGGTAAATTAGTAATAATGGCTAGTACTTAGTACTTATGGTTAATGGGGGTACATATTATATATTTACATTGTCAATTACTATCATCACTACGACTTGCTGATAATTGGATCCTCAATGGTTATATAATAATGGTGATAAATGGTGTCCTTTCATGGCAAAAAAACATGTAAATGGGGAATGTTGCATTGTAATGTTTGATTACCAGAGGGTATATGTTATTTGTTATGATGCTGACTATTTAATACTAATGGTTTTATTAGTTAACTATGATCTAACTACCAATGCTTAAACTATTCGTGTAATACAATATCATATCGCAATAAATATGTTTTATTGTAAACGTTTTGGACGTATACACGGTAATATATAATGGTCATTACATTATTTGTTTTATTATCAACATTACTATTATTTGATTGTTGTTCGTACATTATCATTATTATTCATTACCATTATCATTATTATTGATACGGTACTATTACTATCATAATGAACATGTTGTTCTTCTCCACAATCAAAAATTGTCATATTCTGTGGCCATGGGCATGTACAGCATTATGTGTGCACCTGCAGCCATGAGCAAGGTTTGGTGGAGGTCTTCTCTCATTCATCCTCTTCTGGACCCTGTCTTTTGCGACTTGGCCACCTTGTTGAAGGATGATGGGTCGCGGCATGTGGATTGTTTTGCAACCATTTTTTTTAGTTTGATTGCGTGGTCTGTATACAAGATCCATCTGTATGCATCCTCAAATCCACTTGAACGATTCTTTCTTCAGGCCAAACTCAAAATATTTCAGGAGTGGTATAGTTTGGGGGGATGAAGGATGAGCTGCCAGACTTCCTCATGGCCAATGCCAAGGATATGGTCCATATCTTCTGAAAGCGGCATGCGATCGGAAAGCACCTGGAGGGAAGCGTGGGAAAAAATGCAAGTCTTGGAGACGGATAGGGATCAACATTGCGCAGCATATAATAAATTGAGTGAAACAAAATTTTCCATGGTCTATTCAGAAAGAGTTTCTTGGGATGGTCGGGGTCATTAAAGTGGCAAGTTTTTTGACCCACACCTAAATGGGTGATAAATCTGCGTTTTTGCATGTTCAAACCATGTTTTCTTGTTTTCCGTCGCAATGAAAGCAAGACCCAACATCGTGTTTCTGCGGGTTTCAATGGGTTACGCAAAAAATACACTTGGGTATTAACCACGGTATGACCACAAGCGACTGTTGGTGCTAGAGGTGTTTCAAGCATGGTCTGATATTGGTGGCTTCTTATCAGAGAGTTAGAAGTCTGATTAAATACACTGTAGAGGTGGTATATTTTTATATAGCAGGAAATCGGATATATCTACTACTACTACTACTCCTACTACTACTACTACTGCTGCTGCTACTACTACTACTACTCCTACTGCTACTGCTACTGCTACTGCTGCTGCTGCTACTGCTACTGCTACTGCTGCTGCTGCTGCTACTACTACTACTACTACTACTAAATATACGTACTATAGTATATTGCCAATTCCAAACCTAAATTGTTTTTTCTGGCTCCAGACATATCTATTGTATTTGCATTTCTTTAGTTGGCCACAGCGCCCAGTTTTGTCGGGAGCTCTGTCCACATTATTTTCAGAGTATGTGGATGGTTGAGGGCTCAGAAATTGTTCCACCAAACTGCAGGGCTAGGTACTTTTCCACAGTCAAAACAATTACACTGAGAACACTCCAAAGTTGGGTGGCTGACATGGAACTCCCGTGGAAAACCCAACATTCACCATGGTCATGGGCTGCCTGAGCATCCCCTAAGCTTTACAGAACTTTGTCCCAGGATGAGAGAGGAGATCCACCTCTCCAAGCTGAAATTCTCCGACTTCCAGCATGGTTCTCCTAAAAAACATGTATAGGTATACATATGTAGTATATATATATATATTATATACACCGTATACAGCAAATATATGAATCCAAATTTGTTGTGCCACTCTGGATGTACATACACTAACTGTATCAGTTACCCTATGGTATTCAAACATGGCAATTGAACTCCCTATATACATATGATTGTTTTTGTTTCATTCCGTTGGGAAAAAGCATTGACTTCGGTTTGATGACACCGGAGGGTACTGTATATGTTCTGGGTAATTCAAGTATATCACTGTTGCTGTTACACATATTGTTCACATAATGTTCATCATACCCATATAATCCATACATGTATTCTATATTTACACATATTTACCTACATCTGAGTGTTTGATGGTGTGAATGTTGGTAAATATTCCATCAATTTTCCTCATCATTTCGCCGTTGTTCCAAGGCCATGGCAATGTTTCCTGCACGCAGATGCGCGTTGGCAGCGCCTCGGCCAGATGGTGAATTTGGTCAGTCACCCTATGAAATCCATTAGAATTAGAATCCCCGGGTTTTCACACCAAAATAGCTGGGATTTATGGATGTTCATCCCCCCAAATAGTGTGATGATAGGTTTTGATCCCCGGATTTTTGTTTTTTCCCAGGTCATTAAAAAATATTTGGTGGATTTCCGTCTCAACCCTGCTAAGCATAATTTAGAGGGAAGCCAACAGGTGATAACCTGGATGCAACTATAGGTATTTAGCAATAAGACTGGTGGCAGTTGGTGGTTTCACTTTTTATGTGACTTGAGTTGGGATAATGATCCTTTTTTTTTGAGTGAAGCCCCGAGCCAGGTTTCACGCTTCAATTTGCAGTCTTTATGGGTTAATTTCTTGATTCTTTCAGATTCCTGCGGCAAATTCAGCATGTCGATTTGTTCCAGGGGCCAATCTTGATCTCGCATACTTCAGCCACCAAGATCATCAGGGTTATGACTCCCAGACTTGCGAGTAGGGGGAATTTCCCTTAAAGTCGCTCTAAGGAAAATCATGAAAAACATGGTTTCCAAGTAACATCAACATGTGCCCCATATGGAAAAAAACATGGTTTCTCTGTAGAAACCCTGGTTTCTATGTCAGAAAACCATTGGTCCATTGGTTTCCAGCCATGGTCACCCTGAAACACTGAGGCTGCCGTAGGACGGCGCCACTTTGCTGCCGAAGCAGCGAAGGTCAGGGCTTTCACAGCGTGGCATTTCTCGTTGTTTTAAAATCTTGCGGGCTTGTAATACAGGGTAAATACAACTAGACATGTTACATGATGAACATGAACATGATGATCATGATCATGATGATGATGATGTTGATGATGATGATGATGATGAGGATGATGGTGATGATGATGATGATGATGGTGATGATGATGATGATGATGACGATTGTGAATGTGGAGCAACGTCCGGACTGGACGGGACATGTTAGATACATGGTAAAAGTAATTAAGGGTCTTATGATGATCGTGATCATGATGTTTATGGGATGTTAATACAGGGTGCAATAAATCACGATACTGTAAATCAACTCAAAGGGATATAGTCTATGAGTCTTTGACAATGCGGGATATGTTTATGGCTAAGCCAGCGGCTAACCAACAATGTGCAGGGTTGCTCCAAGTGGGGACATGTTGCCATTTGACCTCTTCTCTTATATCCCCCTTCTATCTCGGGTGTTGGGAGCGACCGTGTTATAGAATGAACTTATGTGTTGGTTTACAACGAATGTCTCACTCAACATACTCTTCAATGGGTACTTGAGAACTTTACTCTACGATTTTGATATTTATGGGGACATAGCTATAGAATGAATTAACCTTGTTGTTGATTGAAATTTTGTAGACCCGGAAATCCCCATTGCTCAGGTGACCAACAAGGTCTTCTTCGACATGTCGATCGGCTCCGAAAAGGCGCCTCCCAAAAAAATGCTGAGTGGGAAAACAGACAGGATGGATTTAACCACGAAAAAATGGTGAGATATATATATATATATATATGTATGTATGTATATATATATATATATACCATGGTGAAAAATGGTGATTTAGCCACAAAACATGATGATTCAACGTTAACCAAATAATGATGGATTTGGGATGATTTGGGTGTGTCTGAAAATGGGTCATCTACAAGTATGACCAAATAATACGGAACATGTTGATAAACCATCATTTTGTACGGGTTATTTTCAGGCAAAACCGGTTCAATGGGGAACATGATGAGAAACAATGAGTTTTTGGATATGTGTGCTAGTTTACCTATAATGTACCCTATGATTCAGACAGTACCACCGGGCTCATTATATGAAAGACAGCACTCCATAAGGTTGATTTCCGAATGGACACCGTGGTCGTGGCCCTGAACGGTTCTCGTGGTTCTCCTTTTGAACGGATTTCTGAACAACTAGAACACACACATATAACTGATAACATCTCATAACCATGTATAACCCATGATCCCCAGCCGTTGAAAAACCACGGGGTTTTTTCATGTCTTTTCCCAGCGGTGTCGGCAGGCAGGTCGCATTGTGATGGGCCTCTACGGCGAGACCGTGCCCAAGACGGCGGAGAACTTCCGCGCGTCCGGACGACGGCGGTTCACGGGGAGCGGTGCGGACCGGGATCCTCCTGGGGTTAAATGGTTAGTAGTAATTAATTACTCCAGTAATCAATGGTTAACAATGGTTAACAATGGTTAACAATGGTTAACAATGGTTAACAACGGTTAACAATGGTTAACAATGGTTAACAATGGTTAACACTGGTTAACAGTGGTTAACAAATGGTTAACAATGGTTAACAATGGTTAACAATGGTTAACAATGGTTAACAATGGTTAACAATGGTCAACAATGGTTAACAATGGTTAACAATGGTTAACAATGGTTAACAATGGTTAACAATGGTTAACAATGGTTAACAATGGTTAACAATGGTTAACAATGGTTAACAATGGTTAACACTGGTTAACACTGGTTAACACTGGTTAACACTGGTTAACACTGGTTAACAATGGTTAACAATGGCCTCAAACAGAAAACTACAGTACATAAGCCACCATCGGTCACCATGAGCGCAGGAACTTAGATGATATAGTTGCATATCGTTGCAATATCGTCCACATGTTGCTACCGGAAAGCTCGGCTTGTGTTCCATTTCTGCCTTGAGTCAGTGCAACAAACAGTAGCAATCGGATACTTAGTTCGCCAGGTCCCACCGCCTTCTCACGTTTAAAAACTACTAATTATATAGATCTATAATTGATCTATATACTTAAAAGGTTGCCTATTACATGTTGACTATTCTTCATGAATTTTGCGTCGGGGTGGGGTTCCCAGTGTTTCTAAACCGCCCAGATGAGCCCTGAGTTGGTTCGCATTCATCGATTTTCCATGTTGGTTTTACTGGATTTCTATGAAAACATTATTCATCTAATCTTTTCATCATTCTCCAATATTTTGCCATTATATATATATATTTAAATATATATATATATATATTTAAATAAATACATGTTTGACATGTTTTTTGGCATTTTGACCACACATTGGCTGGTGGCGCATTGCCTCACTTTTCACGCTCCAGGCTCTGCACGGGTGAGAAAGGTTTTGGTTTCAAGGGCTCTTCCTTTCATAGGCTCGGCGCGGGTGTATTCCAATGGATGTCAGTGGTCAAGAACCCATGTGGGTGTCTGAAAAATGGGATTTGCCATGGTGTAGAGACACAATATTGCAATATATTGCATTTTAATGGGGATTTTTTTGATAATCTGACAAACCATTGCTTTTAGGGGTATCCTATTTTCAGACAAAGCCAAACAAATATATATATATATATACATATATATAATACTAGGTTATAGGATTGTTGTTGTAGGGTTGTAGCCACTTGCCAACTGCTGTACTCCACGGGGAGAATTGCTGCCGTGTGCTTCGGTCCTTGGCGTCCACCAGAGCTTGGCTTCCTAGTGTCCTGGCCAGGGTCATCAAGGACTTTATGATTCAAGGACTGTGGGACTTGGGGCCCTTGGGGCCCTTGGGGCTCAGGTCACCCAAGTGATGCCGGGTGATGGCTGACAGTTGCTGTTTTTCTTTGGGCAGGTCAGATGGTGAGTTTTGAAGAAGGAAACCCCTCTTAGAATCCTCTTTGAATAATCAACCTAGGCTCATTCCAACCAAGTGATGGATGCCAGGAATTCTGGATACTGCGATTGCAATCACCCTGGTGACTGTCAACGTGCATGAATCAATATTCTACCCCAGTTCCAAAGGATTTTAGTCTCCATTGTATTCCCCATTGTGTATATTGGCATACGCATGTATACTTCTTCTTTTTAAACAGTTCCAAATCGCAGATACTCCCAAACGATACTGACGTGTCGTTTTCTATTCACCGGACCTGCAATTGACTTGATATCCGCTACACATTTACAACAGCAGGAGGACGAGATAAATCATTATCGGCATTATCGCCACAGGAGGAGATTTCACAAGAGGAAACGGCACTGGCTCCCTGGCAGCACTGGCAAGGCCCTGCCTGAGGAGGTTTTGGGAGGCTGTCTGAGGGAATGCTGTATAGCATATATAAATATAATATATATATATATATGTTGTATTTATATGACACGATATGGAACTTCCCAGAGGAACAAATGGACATTTATGGAAAGATCATCTTCCAAGTTCAAAGATTGAGCTTCAGTGGTAGTTTGTTTTAAGGGCTAGTCTGTCGAGAATTTGATTGGAATCTATACGGTGCATGAATCCAGTACAATTGTGTGGTGTTCGACAATTGGCGACCTCCAAAATTAGTGTTTTTTTGTTGTTTCAAAAAAACTTGAGGAGGAAATGGGGCGTCCCCAATTTTGGGATGCAGGAAAAAATATTGTTTCGAAAGCCCAGATGCGGGGGCAGCAAGAACAGACATGTTTGCCCTATGCATGCATGCATACATTCATTCATTCAGTCAGTCATTCATTCATTCATTCATACATACAGACATACATACATACACACAGACACACACAGACACACACACACACAGACACACATAGAGAAACACACACACACACTCACACAGAGACACACACACACAGAGACATACACACACACAGACACACACACAGACACACACACAGACACACACAGACAGAGACAGACACACACAGACAGAGACAGAGAGAGACAGAGAGAGACAGAGAGACAGAGAGACAGAGAGACAGACAGAGAGGCAGACAGAGAGACAGACAGAGAGACAGACAGAGAGACAGACAGAGAGACAGACAGAGAGACGGAGAGAGAGAGATAGACAGAGAGACAGACAGAGAGCCAGAGAGACAGACAGAGAGACAGACAGAGAGACAGAGAGACAGACAGGCAGGCAGGCATATACATATACGCAGGCATATACATATACATATACATATACATGTACATATACATATACATATACATACATATTATATATTATTTCAACAAAAACAAGATCCTATGGCTATTGAACGTAGCTATGGAAAATCACCATGTGTAATAGGCAATTCAGGGTAAATCATCTATAAATCGGCAAATGTCCATAAATATCATCAATATCCATAGGCCATAGGGTGTCTATAGTCTATTGAGACCCCTGTGCTGAGGTGGCAAGTCCATCTATGGCACGAAGTTTCCAGATGAGAACTTTAAGCTCAAGCACACTGGGCCTGGAGTGTTATCCATGGCCAATGCTGGACCCAACACGATCCTTGGAACGGCGTAGTCTTCCAAACGTTTTTTGATGGGCTGCGCCTCATGTATAATCATATAATACATTTAAATATATATATATATATATGCATACATGTATATGGACCCTATATTTATAATATATATATAAATATAATAATTATTATTATATAGTGTGTGTATATACGTGTATATATATATATATATATATTTATATATATACACATACATATGAAGTGGGTCATACCAACTGGTTTAACAGGGTACCGTTGCTCCTGTCTCTCAGGAACGGCAGCCAGTTCTTCATCTGCACGGTGCCCACGCCCCATTTGGACGGCAAGCATGTGGTCTTTGGAAGCGTGGTCGAAGGTGCGGCTTTGGCGGCTGGAATTGGGACGGGATGTACCAAGTGGATGGTGGTATCGTGAGAGTATTTGAGATATGTTGATATTATGTACTGGTGCTTCATGAGCACGGAGACTGTTGAATGCTGAAACATCCGCGAATTTTCCCATTGTTGAACAATTGTAGATTTAAACATATTTGGCCAAGGAATCATGAATTCGGGTGTGTCTGAAAATGGTGTAGTGGGAAAACCAATGATTGACTCATGGGATTTAGGGGGACCAAATTGTTTGGTCATGAAATTGGCGTGAGCCAATTTAAGACCCCCAAGCATTCCCAAAGCACATTTAAGTTATTTAAGTGTCTACTCCGGTTTGCAACAAAGCATAAAAGTGAAGGGGTCCGTACCTCCAAAATTGGATGATTTGTTTGTCAGGGCACCTAAATTTGTCCCAATCCCAGCTGCATTTTGCATCATCACCTTATATACCAGTCAAGCTAACTAAGGGAAAAAAATAGTGAGCTCGAAATAAACAATCAAGCACAATTGTTGTCTGTTACAAGGTTAATTAGTTCGTTTCTTAATTAATGTATATAATTACTTTTTAATATAAAAAACAAAACGTGGTCAGCAAAAACATTGGTTTCGAGGTATGGATGTGGTGAAGAAGATCGAGGCCCAGAACAGCACTCCACCAAAGAAGGCGTGTGTCATCGAGGACAGCAAGGTGATAACAGGGGCCCTGGGGATTCAAGATGATTCAAGCAATCAATAAGGGACATTTGTTAAAATGGGGGATGTTCAATGTGATTCAATCACTAAGCATTTTTATAGTTGGGGGTTTCTTAAAATGGGGGATGCCCAAGTCACCATGGTTGATTCAATACTAAGTCATGGTCTAACGACTGAGATGATTTGGGGTACGGCCCCAGGTAAATCTGAAAATGCCAAGTCTGGACTTGGCATGCCTCAAGGTAAATCAGGGATTTTGTTGGACAAACATACTTGCCAGCCATTTTACTGAGCTGCGAGCTCTTTATGGGGGTATCCAGTATCCAGAATTTTACCTTGGGGATTTTTATGCCAACTCCTGCAATCCTGTAGATTGAAAAAGTGATTGGGACTTCAACTGCGTTAACCTTTAATGAATGCCATACTGCTGCTGGAAGTTGAAATGTTACTTCAACTTCAATCCCAGTCTGGTGGGTTGGTTCAAAATGTTGCCACACCTCTTGGGAATAGGCCGCATATTCTTGGTGTTTGCCCTGGTTTGGTTGGTCAATGGGTGGATTGGTCTAACCCCAAACTGGAGTACAAGAATGTGGTGACCTAAGAATAAACCATCTCCATCCATCTCCATTATAGGTTGATTATGGGTCGTACCGCTACACCCCTATTTAGGACACGAAAGGCGGTTATTTCTGGATAAAGTGACCATCCGACCATCGGACCTATCCGAAAAAAACATATCAGCAACACAAATCAAAGTGAAATGAGCTGTATGATTTGATTCTGGATTTTACCTGCAAACCATCCACAAGTAAACACCATTTTTCAGGTACCTCATGGCTTGAGATGGTCGTCAGGACTGCGGCGAGTTGCCTGTGGAGTGAGGATGGGACCAGCGGGTACCTGACACAAAAAATTGGCGGCGCCAGGCTGGAGTTTGAAGCATCAAATATGCCGATATGACATTCATCATTCACATGGAAAAATGATGTAATCGAACAAAAACATGGTGATATCAAGTAATAATAAATCATTCAATTGTTTACTGTAACATCAAGTAAGATGTAATCAACTTGATAATTGTGATGTCTCGCTTTGTCTCACAATTGATGCATTTTTCCAAAACATGCAAATGCAATGGGGAGAGTAATGATAAGGCCATTTGCCGCGATTTCGGTATGGCTTGGGATGGTGACCACTACAAGAAAAGATCGCTCCAATCGGTGATTTTGCCTCTTGATTTTTACCTCAGAATCTGGCGTGTTGGGAGCGACCCAGGGTACCCCATGATAATTCCCGTTGGTTTCAAGGATGTTTGTCCAGGCTTGCGCTGGGCGGAGGATACATGAGGTCATATGGCTTGCCCAAGAGCTTCATTAGCAGCAGACAAGATTATGCAATTCGCTTCGGCGATCAGAAACTGCAAAATCAACATCCATAGAATCCATACGCTAAGGTTTGATTAGCTTCCAGTAGCAACATGCTGTGACTTTTGACTCTGAAAGTGGGCAATCCATGAGGGTGCAACCCGGTTCCATCTTTGGTTTACGGAGGGTAGGTACCAACCCGAGTCCGGAATCAGCGACGGTGTGGATAAGAAGTTTGGGATCCAAAGCAAAACATCCACCACTTGATGTTGAAATGTTGAAATGTTGAAATAAATTGCCCCGAAAATCCCAGTTCGGGGCAGCATCGATGTTTTCAAAGCCTGACACCAGAAAGCACAGCAACTTCAAGGGCTTGGTGTCCTCGGTGTCGCGCCCATGGGATCCAGTAAGTTGCCAAAGTTGCAGCTACCGAAGGCGAGATAGCCCAAGGGTGGGAGAGCCAAAGAATGATAGAGATACACGGGGGAATCTCTACAGACTGGTTTGATGATGATTGCCTGTCTCATCCGTTTTCTCTTTTTGTATCTTTTTGTGGACCCATGTTTGCTAGTTTTAATTTTACATGCAATTTCTTGGATTTGGATAGGTTTTGCAAGGTGTCAAAACCATCAAACAACCATATCCTGTTTTTCTTGCTGGGTCTTATAGCACCCCCTGAAAAGAAGTCAAGAAAAGTATAATCCTACTGACAGTGGGAAATCCATGTTCTATTATATATATTTATGATATACATATATATATATATACACTCTTTTTGCGAGAGCAAATCACCATCCGTTCTGTATCAGGATGAGGCTGCACAGAAACGCCTCATCGAGGTTGGAAGGGTTCAGGGAGCTTCATCACTGTCCGAATTTGGGGATTCTTAGCATCCAAAAATGGTGATGGCTACCATTCAAAATGTGATTTAACATGATTTAAGTTTAACCATTAAAAAATGGGCTTCTATTAAATTGAGTATGTCTCAAATTGGGGATTTATGCAAAGCAAATTTAGCCGCCTTCGGCGTGTTCCGCCTTCCACCATTATTTAGTTATTATATAAGTATATATATATATATAAGTCCCTTCAGCAGCTTCCGTATGGTTTTTTCCGCCCCTGGCGAGGCGTCTGATCTGGCCAAGACAGGGGAGCTGAAAGCAGGGCAGCAGATGCTCAAAGAGGCGACCGGCGAAGGGCACGCGACTTTCCTACCTTTTCGCGCACCTGCATCTTCTTTCTTCTCACTCTTTCTCTTCTCTGATCTTCTCTCTTCTGCTCTTCTCCTCTCTGACTCTTCCCACCTCTGCTTTTACATGTGTTCATACTGTTGGAAATTTGACTTCTAACCTTCCTTCGAACATATTCTAATGTCATCAAGAGAAACACTGACTCCGGGTTCAATTTTGGGAGTAAAAGGCCAATCAAGAACCGGATTCGGGTCAAAATTCGACATGGTACCCACCAATGATTATAGATTTGGGTCTCTAGGATGTCAAACCATCCCGCCTACTTGTTGGTACCCATGGACTTGACCCACGCCCATGTGGATACCTCTTCCAATCACTGGTTTCTTAGGTGCCCGGCGGATGAAAAACGAAGAAAGACAAGCATCAGTGGTACCGAAGAGAAATTCCTCACTGGTAATTACTTGTATGGCAATGACATTTAAATTTGTGCAGGGCGGGCCAGACCACAAGGCCCTGGAAATAGTATGAAACAGTTCCATCCGTATATTTTAATGTACATATGTTTAAACAAATTGGATTGCGTATGTTTAAATGGCCGGGCGGGCCAAGGAAAACTTTCCCGGAGGTAATCTAAACTACCAGTTTGTGTATTTAAAAATCCGTATATTTAGATTATGTAGTTACCGTATAGTTTTTTGTTTCCCATTGCACAACTGGTTTTGTTATTTCCACCATTTCTGACTTAGTTTGGAATTTTGTACCTCTTAAGGGGATCAAATTTGGAAACCCTGAATGTTCATGAAAATTTGTCGGTTACATTTCTCCCATTTTTTCTGGGTTTGAGGACATGAACATATGGTTTCATGTTGTAAGTCCACGCGACAGTTGGACTGAAACCCAAAGTCGTTGGATCCTTTTGGTCATCTATTCTCCTGGAATGGTTGGTATTGAACAATGCAGGTTTTACCCTTTGGCAATTTAACTGGTTTAACTTGTCTTGCCGAAAAAAAACACCCACTGAGGGAGGCTCCTGAGAACTAGATTTGGATACTCAGAACCAGAGTTTGGTCATAATATAGGTACTTGAAGCTACAAGTATATATATATACATAATTATCGAAGGAAGTTTAGAAGTCAAACTTCCGACAATATGGACAGATGAAAAGCAGAGCAGGGAAGAGGCAGAGAGAAGAGAAAGATTAGAAGAAAGAAAGTAGAAGAGAAAGAGTAAGAAGAAAGAAGATGCAGATGCGCGAAAAGGTAGGAAAGTCGCGATTCACTGTGTTTTTCCAATGATTTTGGGCTCCGGAGGGTCGAAAAGTAGGCTTGCTAAAGCGGCGGGTGCGGAGCCAGCTGGCCAGAGGAGAGATGAAAAATTGCACGCCGTTGTGGCGCGAAGCACATTTCCAAGTCAAAATGCACAAAGCACACCATTGTCGGACCACTTTTGGAAGTTGCGATGTCGAAAAAGTGCACGCCGTTGTGGCGCGAAGCACATTTCGAAGTCAACATGCACAAAACACACCATTGTCGGACCACTTTTGGAAGTTGCGATGTCGAAAAAGTGCACGCCGTTGTGGCGCGAAGCACATTTCCAAGTCAAAATGTACAAAACACACCATTGTCGGACCACTTTTGGAAGTTGCGATGTCGAGAAAGCGCACGCCGTTGTGGCGCGAAGCACATTTCGAAGTCAAAATGTTAAAAACACCAGGGGTTCGGACCACTTTTGGAGGTTCAGATGTCGCTTCGCTTCGCTTCAGTAGAATAGACTACATTACACTACACTACACTCCACTACACTACACTACATTACACTACACTACACTCCACAACATTACAACTACAACAACGCGACTACACTCCACTACACTAAATTACACTACACTACACTAAATTACACTACACTACACTACCTTCCACTACACTTGACTACATTACACTACATTACACTACACTACAACTACAACTACAACTACAACTACAACTGCACAACTACACTCCACTACACTACATTACAACACTACACTACACTACACTACCTCCCACTACACTTGACTACATTACACTACATTACACTACACTCCACTACACTACATCTACAACTACACAACTACACTCCACTACACTAAATTACACTACACTACACTACATTCCACTACACTACATTACACTACACTACATTACACTGAATGACACTGCACCACAGATAGACAGGTAGACAGAGAGATAGATAGATAGACAGATTGACAGGTAGACAGCTAGACAGATAGACAGATAGACGACAGATAGACGACAGACAGATAGATAGATAGATAGATAGACAGACAGATAGATAGATAGATGGATAGATAGATAGGTAATTAGATGAAAGAGAGAGAGAGATAGATAGATCGATAGATAGACAGATACATAGAAGATAGATAGGTAGGTAGTAGGTAGATAGTCAGAGAAAGAGAGAGAAAGAGAGGAGACCTCAAGCACCTTTCGGTCCATCAGTGGCTTCGCTCTGCCATCCCTGATTCACAACAACCAATCTCTCCTATAGGTTTCCTATTTTTGAAACTTCCGCCACCGCCTTGTGCGGTACTACTGGTACATCTATGGTTTCATAGAAGACCTTGTAGGTTCATAGGTTCATAGGTTCTGTGCATAGATGTGCATAGACTGGTTATAGGTGATTCTTCATGAGTATATTATAGAAACATATATTCCGATGAAAACTTGGCCTGCATCGCAGGGCGTGGCGAGTGGCCTGATAGCTGCACCTTTGCAACGTCAGGCACAATATTCGAAGCCGTTGATGTTGAAGTTGCGATCTATGGCCTGTCATCACGGGAGATTTCACTGAGAAAAACCCATCAAACATGGTAAAGTTAAAATACCTTAACATATTTCACCGATTGGATTTTGAGTCTGGCTTTGCCGCCGGGAGACTCCTTTTGTTTGCAGGCCATGAAACTATACGGGGCCAAAGGGATGATAGACCAATGTTTCCCAATTAAAGTGGCTACTTTGGGGTGGTATATTCCACTATATCCCCATGTTTGACAATTACTCTCCAGTAATTTGAACTGCGGAAACCACGGCCCTTTTAGTTCGATGATTTACCTATTTAAAATGGCAATGTCCCATGGTTATGTTAAATTACCAGAGGAAACATCCCACATAAATCCCATATAAATCCCACAATCCCATATAACTCCCATAACCATATCATGTGTGTGTTTTTTGTTTCCCAGTTCCAGTCCCCAAGAGCTGATCGCAACCAGGTCCTTGCTTGGTGGTCAGCTGGAGAGTACCTAGGCACTGGGTACCCCACAAAAGTACACACGTCATTTGCCACTATCTATAGGTAGCTAAGTAGGATTTTACTGTTCCATTTTTTTGGGGGTAGCCATGTATGTATATATATATATATATATATATGTATGTGTATAAATATATATATATATATATATAGATATAGATACGGGAAAACATCCTGGAGTAGATAGAATGGAGAAACGAATCCTGAGAAAAATGGGGTGTGTTGTGAAATTGTCATATTCCATCTACCTCAGGATAATTTAAACATACACATGCGAATGTGTGTCTATGTACGGGGAAATGGGATTAGCCAATAAACATCCAAAGTATTGAACCAAATTTTAGACCTATGGGGGGCCACAGATTTTGTTCCGGTTTGAGTAGAAAACCTTTCCACTTTGGGTTCAAATTTTACCCATGCCCATCTGTTGCCATTCATGGCCTACATAGTCTTACCGGCTCAATCATGCTATTATTCGCTGGCTCTACAATAGATCAGCAATAGGAAGATCGGATCCATTGTTCCCGAAAACGACAAACATGGGTAGGTCACCAAACCTGTTCGATACTTGGGTGATGAGCAAACAAATAAATCTAGGTGGCAGATGGATTGCTGACTGCTGATGATCCCAGCAGATACCAGTTACCACCTTGATATCCCAACTGATCCCATCTCACAACTTCTTCCAACGGTGACTCAGGTACGACCTGCTCCCTGAAAAAAAAACGCCACCGGAGTCCAAAGCGAGTCCCACCGTGGATGACTTGGAGGCCCCTGGGTCAAGTTGAAAAACCAGCCATGGCTAGCCCGTGGAAGGAGCAACTCGCTGGTTTTTTACGCAACCAAGAAGGGGATGTCAATCACTTGTCATCCAGTGGTCCTGAATGAAAATAATCCTTTCCTCATAATACTAAACGCCCCCCCCCCCCAAATAATAAACACCTCAGGTATAGTTTTTATTATTAGGGGAATATTTAATTTATTATTAGGGAACCCTAATAATTAATAAATTTAGATCCTTAATAAACAACTATTTGTTTCGATTTCAAAATCAACAAAATTTGCTTATATATATATAACGCAATTAAAATATTGCCAAAAATTGGATTTCGAAGCGGCCCCTATTGATAAATTAAAACCCTTAATAAAAAAACTATTTGTTTCGATTTCAAAATCAATTAAACTTGCATATATCACGCAATTAACATATTGCCAAAAATTGGATTTCGAAGCGGACCCTGTTAATAAGTTTAAACCGTTAATAAAAAAAACTTTTGTTTCGATTTCAAAATCAATTAACTTTCTTTTTTTAACGCAATTAAAATATTGCCAAAAATAGGATTTCGAAGCGGACCCTATTGATAAATTTAAACCCTTAATAAAAAAACTAGTTGTTTCGATTTCAAAATCAGTTGAATTTCCTTATATAACGTAATTAAAATATTGCCAAAAATTGGATTTCGAAGCGGGCCCTAATGATAAATTAAAAGCCCTAATATAAAAAACTAAAAAAATCGGACGGACCCTAATAATAAACACCCCAGGCCTGATTAGTTTTTATTATTAGGGGGCGAAACCCACAAACGGTAGCTTTATTTTTAAATTGTTTTCTAAAGGGGATCAGTTAAAAGTCAAATTGGCAAATATGAAATTGTCATAAATTTTCCAAAATTGGAGATGGACCCTAGTTTTGATTATTTAGGAGACGTTTAGTAATAGGGGGAAGGGATTATAATATAAATATTAAATATTATACTTCAGAACTGCTTCAGAACCGTGGTTTGAGAACCCAATGACCGGATAGTGAACTCCAGGTCGAGAATTATGGTCAGCATCACTGTCCAGTCACTGAGTAGGAATCATTTGACCTGCCAATTGATTGGATGAACCCAGTTGATGATCAGCTACTATCTAGCGAGACTCAGTCACTTTCAGGTTGATTTAAACCTTTTCGATTGAAATTGTTGTGATCGTTTGGAGGTAAATGATCTCAGCGTGACTCAACATGCGAGGATTTATCATTGCCGTGTCTACACATGTTTACCAAGTCAACAACAACATGAGCTACTACACAAGACATTTCAGGACCAATCAAACCTCCATGAGTGACTATGGCTCAAATGTCAAAAGATTCAAGGCCTCCAAGGCCTCCAAACAATGATTATTGTGTTCGGCATTGATTGTGTTAAAATGTGTTTAGAGTTTAGAGTGTGGAATATCCTTCCTGGGATCCCAGTTACACCGGGGCAGCATCATTCAGCGCAACCACCAATTGTAACGGATCTACCCTTCAGTAAATTAACGCTACGGAAAACCATGGGTTTTCCGAGAACATGCGATCCAAATGCTTCAAATGAATTCAAGTAATGGATATTATGAATATGAATATGATACGTTCCTTTTTCTGTATGTTTCTTGGAGGGTAACTACATGGTTCACGGCTCATATTTCGCCGTGAGGGAACATGGCCATTTGATGAGTTCCATGCGATGCTGAAATCATGGAAATTCCATTGTGATTTTTATTTCGCTTGCGGTGACTCTTGGCAAAAACTCTTTTTTTTCTCTTCTGCAAAATGCGAGTAAACTACTGTGCTGTTCACCAAATTTTGGTGAGCTGCCGCAAAAAGATCTTTGCGGACAACTGGCCCAAGTTCTTACGCCAAGCCCATGCGTAGACTTGGTGTTCGAAAAAGGGACACTAAAGAAAAAGTGCATCTATTTTTTTGATTTTCGACATATGAGCAATCTTGAAAACCCTCAGTTCACGGAAAGAACATCCACGGATATCTGGTAAACTTAGGGGGTAACGCTTGCACGAAACTGTTTGTTTTTTTGTATATAATTCACAGAAATCAACGTCCAATTTGGGTGTCGCTAATGTGGATATTAGAGAAATGCAATGACATAACCTTGAAAAGGAGCATTGCTAATTTGGGAAGGTCCCATCGCTTACCGTGGGGTTTTATTAATTTCCATCAATTTCCCTAAACCAATGTCCGTCCAATACATATTTAGTATTGCCGGGGTTTTTGCGGTGGCTCATATCATATCACCCACTGGTTTACATCAACGTAGCATCAACAACGTCTTCCAAGTTACCTCGACATGTCTTGTCGACGTAGTATCAAGGACGTGGTCGTCAGGACGTTAATACACCCCCCCACCCCACCCCACCCAACCCCACCCCCACCCACCCCACCCCACCCCACCCCACGTCATCAACGTAGCATCAACAACGTCTTCCAAGTTACCTCGACATGTCTTGTCGACGTAGTATCAAGGACGTGGTCGTCAGGACGTTAATACACCCCCCCACCCCACCCCAGCGTAAACCCTCCATTGGTCAAAAAATGCATATTTTACCACGGCGAATTATGCACCGTGGTCCAACTACATGTAACTACTGTGATCCATGCGTTCAAATAGATCTCGGGACGTCCTTGAAAGAGATGCATTTAGCCAGCATGTTCGAAGGGGGAGGTTTGGGACCCCTTCCCCTTCACGTTGTGGCCCTCCGTCCCAGCTGGATTGTCAAGAGTGCATACCATTTTCGGGATTTTGAGGGTAAATTAAACCACAATTCCTAGCGTTTGCTGATTTTTCATGGTGACTCACTAGTTTTGATATGTTTTGATTTTCAAAACGGTATTGTTATGCCATACATACCAGGTTGGTGCTTGATAGTCAGCATCGTTGATTCTTCCGCAACGGTGCAGGCTCAAGTGGTGCGGCTGATGAAGGAGCGCCAGTGGTCACGGAAAGAGGTCCCTCGCACACCTCCTGAAAGCTTGTTATTAACTATACGGATGGTATATGACGCTTGGTAGTGTTGCAGCTGCGGCATGCAACATATTTATCAAACACAATGTAGGGGGTTAACCAGATTTCTGTCATTCGGATTTTGTAGGTTTTTACTATTCACAATATATCACCAGCAAAGGTAGGGGATCCATATGTTTCACTTTTTGGAAGCTTGGTTAGATTCCAATGATTCATAAAGAACATGCAGTTTATCAGATCGACCAGAAAATGCGGGAAAACTAGATCTCAGCCAAACAAAACTGGTTGATGGCTTCCGACATATGCAGACTAAGACAATGATTATATACCCTCCAGTAAACTAACATATATATATATATATACATGTATATGTACAGAATGGTATATATATATATACATATACATATTTAAAAATATATAATATATATATACATACGAAAATTGCCCATTGATGGATGTTTAACGTACCTGTTAAGAATGAGGATGTTCCATACCCATGTTAGTTTACTGGAGGGAAATCCAATTGAACAATATGTTTGTCACGGGGTGAAACCAAGCAGTTTATTTTGCTGGAGTAAAGCAACTTGTTATTCTTAACATTGCTTTGCCGTGGAGTCCGAGAAGAAGATTTCAGGTGATTGTGCAGTATATTATATATTACATTTTGATACATGTCACTAGATAAAGATACAGAGAGAAACAAACAGAACATGGTTTGATATTCTGGTTTCTCTGGGTCGTTCCCATTGGTGTTCTGATCCCAGGATCACAGACTAGAGTCCTCTGATCGACTCTGATAGAATAAGTGATCAGTGGGACTATTTTCTATGTATTCAATCTTCAGTATGTCATTACCTCCCTAAACTTGAAAATGTTGGCTCTCTCTCTCTCTACTTTCCATCAGCCAGGCCTGTCAGTACATTGATGAAGGCGGTCTCGATATGGAGCAAATGCAGGCTAGATGGTTGGTGAATCCTTCCAGAAACTCCCTGGATATCCATGCATAAATGTTGGGGTTTGAAACTGCTCTCAAGAACCATGATTGTATCATACCTCTGGTTGGTGATGTTACATATTGTGTTATTTCATGTTATTTCACCCCAAAATTATTGTACTACTTTGGACTTGCTTCGCCTCGGCCTTGATGAGGGGTATGCAGAATTCATTACCGATGGGGGACCACCCTATACCGATACCTTTGTTTTGCATAAGTCTCCTCACAGTCAAACGCAGAATCCAAAAACTGCTGATAGGGGACGACCCCAATGGGGCGGGCATCAAAATGAACAAGTTATTTTGCCCGCCATTCGTATATTTCCCTGTGTTTTTTTGTTGATGTTCCCACTAGCCTAGCAAGGGATGGATGGTTCAACCACTGATCATCGCCTCGTCCACCTCAGGCGGAGATGAATTCGCCCATGGACGATGCCTTTGAAAAACTGAAGCAGCAGGGCCCTCCGCAGTGGTTTGTGGAAGCCATGACGTGGCCCTAACCTGCTTGGGGCGCCATTGAGCCTGGGGAGATGCAAGTCATTAAAAAGTCATGGAAGACGAAGGTACGAAGGTTTTGGTTTGTGGAAGATTGAATAATCCAGCAGTTCTTGTGATGGTCAGTGGTTCTACTTCAGTAAGGAGATTCAATATATTCGTAGTTTTGGAAGTACGCTGCTATACTCTCCACTTGGAAACTCAATGCGTTCACATGTTTTGCTGCGTCTAGTTGGGGGGAAAGAATTGTGGAAGTCGATGCGTGCGGCGTCCAGCTTGTGTTTGGAAAACATGGTTTTGACTATTGATACTTTTACCTGCGTTTTTGCATGTTTGGAATTTACCTAATGTGTCAGTTCCATTGGGAATTGGATTGTGTTGGGTTTTGCCCTTTTGAAATTTGGAGATGTGATTGTGTTGAAATGATGAGGGGGATTGGTGGCGAGGGGTTCTTTTTTTCCATTTTAGGGTATCGCCAGAGTATCGCCGGAAATACGCGAGTTGTCTTGCCTTGTCTTGTCTTGTCGCTGCTGCTGCTGCTACTGCTACTACTGCTGCTGGTTCTGCTGGTCCTGCTGCTGCTGTTGCTGCTTCATACCTTCCCACTACCGAGTTGCGTGCGCCACAGCGCGCACACGCAGCAGTCGTCACTGGCCGGGCGATCGGGGTGGCAACAGCCCTGCGTGCTTGACACGCTCGCCTTGTCGGGCATTGTTCGGACTGCATCCGTCCTTGCACCTGTATCTTTGGTTGGTCGCTTCACTTTGACTGTAGTTGTGGTGAAATTTGCGTCCCATTGCGTTTTTCAACAAAATCATTCAAAATATTTTAAAATAATGACGGCATAGACGCAGCGTCCACAATATGATTCCTAATTTTAGAGCCATAAAAAGCACCGAACATTAAACAAAATAGATGATTGCTGGCGTACAGCGTCCCATGCTAATTTACATTAAATTGCACTGACTTCTCTGACTTCCCGAATGCGCGGCGTCCCATGGTGATTTGTGTTTCAAAGAGACGGTGCACTGACTTTCCCGATTGGGTGTATGTCCTATCTCGTTTTTTTTGGTGACTGCTCCAAGTCCTCCGACAGGAAAGGGGATACTTGGATATAGAATATTGATTAACATTGTGTATATGCCAATAATAAAGTACATATTTGTGTATGTATTGTGTGATCCATGAACTATATGTCTAAGAATGTATCTAAAAATACATATACATATACAATCATATACAATCATGTACAATAATATACAATCATATACAATCATATACAATCATATGCAATCATATACAATCATATACAATCTTATACAATAATATACAATAATATACAATCATATACAATCATATACAATCATATACAATCATATACAATCATATACATATAATTATACATATATATACATGTATACATATATACATTTATACATATATACATATATGTATACATATACAATGATATACAATGATATACAATTATATACAATTATATACAATTATATATACATACATATACATATACATATACATATATACATACATATATACATAGATACATATTTACATACATACATATATACATTTACATATATACATATATACATGTATACATATACAAATATATTTACATATACCTATATATATACATATATATATATATACACATACATTTATTTATTTACATGTATATATTCACATATATATATGTACATATACATATATATATTTACATATGTACATATGCACATATATATTTGTATGTATATATATATGTGTGTGTGTTAATATATGTATACATGTATATTTATATGATTAATGTAAATATATATATATATATAATATATAATATATATATATATATTATGTATACATATGTAGTGTATATATGTACATATATATATATATATATATTGATTTAAATGTGTATATATGCATATGTAAAAAAAAACAAAAACAATATGTATATAGATTTATGTACATGTATATGTATATGTTTATGTATATATATATATATACATATACATATATATATATATGTATATGTATGGTCTCGTGTTCCGTGGGTCAAAAATCAGCGACTTGGCCAGGAATGCTCAAGAGAAGGCAAAGCAGGAAGCAGAAGGCCCTGAGAACTCCAGGCAGAAAACATCCAAGCTAATGTAATGATGGTTACCCTCCGGTAAACTAAAATGGCTATTGGAAATTGCTAATTTATAGTTGATTTACCTACTAAAAGTGTTGATTTTCCATAGTTATGTTAGTTCACCAGAGGGTAATAATGGTAAAAGTTGATGGAGGGTTTGAGCTGGGATCATTTAACCGGAGGGTATACAGCGATTGGAATCATCAAACATGGAGATTTTAGGGTAATCCAACAGTGGGAAAGACCGCACTGTTTTTTTGTTGGGGGGACAACAGGGTGCCATTTTTGGACAAAGCCATTGTCGTAAAATTCTGGGACGACAGCTGACCTTGCCAGTTTAACGGTATGAAAAACATCCCTTGTGTTGGGTACCAACGTTTGACTTACCTATATACAAGTATAATATTAATATATATATATAGTTGCTGCTTCTGGTGCCATTGAGTGGATTGGTTGGTCGTTGTTTTGTCAATCAAATCAGCAACCTGCAAATTGTTTCAACGACGGTAGCATCGCTTGCATTTAGCAAATATATATATATATACATAAATATGTAATATAATATAATAAAATATTATATAATAGAATAGAATAGAATATAATCTAATATAATATAACATAGTATAATATAATAAAATATTATTGAATATAATATGTTATAAATAATATATGAAATAACATATTTAAAATTTAATATACTATATTTAACTTAATATATATAATATAATTTAAAAAATAATATATTATAGTTAATAATAATGATTTGATATAATATAGTATAATTTAAACTATTATACAATATAAGAGTATAGATAAGATAATATTTTTAATATATATGATATTGTATAATATAATAGCATATAATTGAATATTAAATATGATATTTATAATATATGTAATATTTAATATATATATAATATAATATATTTATTTTGATACTTCATAAAAATATATATATATAATTTCAATAATATATTTAATATATATATATATAATATAATATATGTAATATTCAATATATAATATATAATATATATAATAATGTATATATATAATAATTTAATAATATATATATATATATATAATATAATATATATAATATATAATATAATATATTTAATATATGTTTATAATATATTTTATTTATTATATATATATAATATTTGAAATTACATAATATATATAATATAGAATATATTAATATATATATACTATATATAATACATATATATTGTTTTTTTTTTTTTAATATATAGTATTTCAATATTTAACATTGTATTTAATATATATATATATATATAACATTTAATATTTAATATTTTATTTAATATATAAAATATTATTTTATTTTTCACGTAATATATATATGTTTTAAAATTATATAATATATATATATATATCAAAGATATGTAAGATATTTAATATAATATATCAAGAGATAATGTAATATAATATAGCATAATTTAATATTTTATAATATAAAATAATGTAATATAATTGAACTTAATACATTATAATACACATATATATATATTATGTTTTTTTTAAATATATTATATATTATATTTGTTATGTATTGTATATTATACGTTATTTAGTCTATATTATATATTATATATATATTATATTATTATATATTATTTATTATTTTTTATTATATATTATTATATATTATTTATTATTATATATTATGTATACATGACGTGGATCACAACAATGCTTTGTTTTGTCTTTGTGACCATGCCATGACTGCAAGCTGGTCCAGGTGAAACTTCGAAGGAAACTCCAGCAGTTGAAAATTGATTTCTGTGTCATGTGCGGAAGCTGGACATTTGGACGCGTTTTGAGGCAGAGGCCAAGGGGTGTAGTATACATGGTAAGTAGTCATAGCAAAATCAGGGAAAGTGGTTCTTTTATGGGTCCCAGTACATTCCATCCTTCCATTCTTCCAGCATGCTGTTATCCGAATTCATCAGAATTGGGCCCCAAGACTGCAGAGCCCTGAGCTAAGCATGCCCCAGCCCAGACGTCCATTGCGTGATGTTTTCCCATGGCTGGCCATGCAGAAGGATAGCATTCAGCTGTGCAGCGAATTCAGTGCTGCTGTGCATGACCAGTTTGTCCAATGTCTCACTCATGCATGCTGTAATGGGCCTTTCTCCCAGTATTCTCCAGCCTCTGTTCTCATTGTAGCCCCTATGCATCTTCAGACTTCATCTATGGTATGCTTTCTAAACTGTCTCCCAGACAAACTAATCCAAGCGCAAATCAGGTATGCATTTGCAAAACGAGCATTTAGACCGGTATTCAGCCTGAGTATATGATGGTTCACTCCATTCTGAACTGGGATTGTGCCCCTTACATCAAAAAGCAGAAAAGGCATGTTTGAAGAGGCGCCGGCGCAACCTATGTGAGAAGGGGTTGATGGTTACGTTGCCGGTTTTTGTGGGGACGGGATGACGCAACCAGTAGGCTCGGGGATGGCATCTCTCAACGGGCGCTGGTGGGTGAAGTCGGTAAGAAGTTGGATGAAGTTGATACATATTGACATGCGTGTTGAATGTGGGATATATAAATAATATATATATATATATATTTATAGTATATGTAACTTTATACCCACGGAGAGGCAAGGGATTCCCTTGGCGATCTGGTTTCACAGATTGCCTGCAGGAATCTCGGGGACATAGACACGAAACCAACATTGACATACATTGACCAACCATCCCTGCAGGTTGCTTTACGGCTCGAAGAATACAGATTGAGCACAGTTGAGGTTTGAAATATGATATTTTGCAAAATGTCGTCTTAGCCGTAGCATTGAGCTGTAGAGTTTTTGGAGACCGGCTATCACCATTACCAACCCCCCCAACTAACATAGACCCTGCCAAATAGGTGGCTTGAAGATTACTGTCCACTGCACTGTCCACTAACAATGAGCTATGTTCAGGGTCTATATGAATTTACTTGAGGGCAATATGTGTATCTTGGATTTGCCATGTTTTGAGATAGTTTTAGCATGTCTTGAGACAAGTTGTTGCTTTGTTTCTAAGGTGAAAATGGGATTCGGGAGATGAACCAGAGTGAATTTGAGTGAAATTCCCCATCAATCGGCCTTTAAATATAGAGGAAACACATCGAACTAAATGGGAAAAAATCAGCAAACCATGTTTGATTACCAGAAGGGAGTTTTGATGATCCTTTAAACGTTCCAAACAAAGCAAACGAACACATATGAACACTATGTAGAATCAACTAGCTCAGCGCTTCGTTTGCCGGTCTTACCAATATTGTAACTTGGCAGCTTTTCAGGTCAGCCCTGTGTCATGACGGTGTGATGGAAGTGCTTTATTCAATGATAAAATGGGTCAAATGAGGTACACCAATCCCAGTTTGACCACAAATGGGTTGCGTGGCATATAAATTATAACTAAATATAATAAAATCCTCCAAACGCGGAGGTTCTATTATTTGGTTTCCACATTGCAAACGAATATGGATGCAATATGATGCAATGATATGTATGGATGCAACGATATCGATGATTCAATCTTATATAGATTCTTACCGGAAAAGATACCCCTCAATAGGAGAGTACGTCCTGGAAATGACAAAATGACGAAATGATCGTTGAAAAGACACAACCAAGTTCGATGTTCCGCTCGCTGATTCCGCTGATTCCGAAGTTTTCACTCCGAGGCCAGCCTTTTTGGCTCAGGCCGCAGCCATGTCTTTGGAAGATCGGTTCCATCCTTTGGCACCAGCGCATCCTCCTGCGGCTCCTATAGTGGCAGATAGCCTTTTGGTCCCCAGGTTGGACGATGCACTGGGGAATTTCCGTGTGACTTGCTCGAAACAGTCCCGAAATGGGGGGGGATACATCAACATATCCACTATTTAATGTCTGTGAGAAACCCGTAATTTTGTGGTGAGTGTGAGTAAAATCCAAATAATTATATCCAGTATACTTTATTGACCAAACTCGCCTTGGGGATCACCGGGGACTGCTCGGGGGTCTCCAGTTTCGTCACCCTTTCCGATTCTTTTTATGGATGCATGGTAGATATATGCGTTATTGTCAAACCATGGTGTACTTTCTCAAACAATCAAAAAAGGATAAGGTCATGATAATCATCCCATTAATAGGGCGTGAATATACAATATCATTATGGGAATGATTGTGGGAGGACCACAGCCCATTCATCCTATGTAACTTGACCCTAGCACGTATGACCGCGTCATTCCAGCTCAGCCTCGATTAGTAGCGGGTTATCCACCAAGGGGTATGGAAAGCGAGAACGACGTCGGCGTGAACAGACGCGGAAGCTGCGAGAGTTCTTGAAAAAGCATCGTTTCCCAGATGTGAAGCCAAGCGGAAGTTAGTTCATAGTCCCATCCCCCTTAGAAAAGCCAACAGCCTCCAGAGTCACCATGATGGTTTAATAGGGTATCACATATTTGGGACCATAGAATGGTCTGTTTAATCTGAACGGGATGGGATTGCATAACATGGGATTAATTCATATGGTATTGAATCGAAATGGTCCAAAGATGTTGGAACTGCTTGTATCTTTCGATTTTGCTAGCTAGAACCCTGTAGAACGCGATGATTTACTAATTATAATCTTATGTTTTATAATTACTATGGGGGTACATGGTACGGGAGTCCCTTTGGCATCACTTTTCAAGCCCCCAGTTTTGGGCCCCCACCGGCCATGTTTTGTCACACTATCTTCCAGTTGTGCAGTTTGAGAAAATTGGCATGGAAGCTGTCCAGACGGCATGGCTTCTGCAGCTAGCACGGCTCACAGCTCGTCGCAGAAAACACAATTTGACTATATCTATAGCCATGTCCTCTGCCGCCGCTGGTATGGAAAGGGATGCTGCGGAAGGTGCTGCTGTAGCCCATGTGCCCGGGATGGATGACCGTATAGCTGCTTTGAAAGCTGAAAGGCAGGCCTTGAAACGCCAGCTGCAGCAAACCAGTCGAGAAGTCAAGGCCCAGGCTGGTTCAATTTCATCCTTGTGTGCCATGTTTGTGTTGGTGAAGCTGTATTGACATTCCATCATGCCACTTGCACCTTCATCTTTCCCATCTCAGGTTTTTTTTGGTGAAGCTGCATTGCACCTGCATCGCACCACTTGTACTTTCAATCTTTTTGTTTCAGCTCTGCGCCGGGAGAAAAAACGACGCAGAGTCCTGAAATCGGCGGGCGAACTGAGCACCCAAGACCTCTCGTGGCTCCTGGCCTTCAAAATGACCCGTCAGCAGTAGCAGCTTCTTCAAAACTATATGTCTCACTGAAGCACTTGTGATTGCTCTCCCGAGGAGTCAGCAGCAGCTTCCTCAAAACTATATGTCTCACTGAAGCACTTGTGATTGCTGTCTCCCGAGGAGTCAGCAGCAGCTTCCTCAAAACTATATGTCTCACTGAAGCACTTGAGACTGCTGTCTCTAAAGGAGTCAGACAGGAATGTGGTGAAGTCACACGCGGCAGGTTACCTAACGACGGCTGTCTCCCAAGGCATCAAAAACACGTTTTTGCGTGCTTTGGCACCTGTTTTTGCTGTGACCCCAAAAAACTACTAAGGATACTTCCAACCATTTTCGCAGACTTTGCATTGGCACGGCAGAGTCACAGCTCATGCACGCATGAAAAACTACTAACCCGTGAAATTGAAATCACAATGGCTTGGACGCAAAACTACTAAGGAATTCTGCCAATTGAAAAGAAATAGAAGAAAGTGTTTCCTTTTTTGTCCATTGAACAATTCCTTAGTAGTTTTGCCACCGAGCCAATACAAAGTTTGAAATTCCCCTTAGTAGTTTTCACACAGAAGCATAGTAGTTTTGCGGCAGAGCCAATATAAAGTTGTGACATCGTGCTTAGTAGTTTCACACCGAAGCATGCTAGTGTTGCAGTGGAGCCAATGCAAAGATTGACATCGCCAACGGCCAGTGAAGCATTTCATCTTGCAGCTGTGATGTGCCACCTGCCGTGACGGCACATGTGTTTCTTCCTAATTCAAAGGGCCTTTCCGGCCACATGTTGGCCCCCCCCCCCGCACCCCCCGGAATCAAGGTTGACGAAAATGTCTTGCTGTGAAGACCTGACGCTTTGGAAGTTGGCTGCTGCAGTGATTAACACCAGGAAACAACATTGATCCTGGGGGTGCGGGGGGGGAGCCGCTGCTGTGACCCTATACGTGGGGCCTCGTGCTGTGTGTGCAAAAGGTCTGAATTTGGGGTCGCTAACGGACGCTGATTTCAGCCCTCTTCATTGAGGGCCCTCCTTGTGACAACACAAACCTGCATGATGTGGAGAGATAACCAGCAGTGTTTTTCCATAACAGTGTCATAACACAAACCCACATGATTGGACGGCTCATCATCATTGTTCGGTCTTGCCTGCTCCTCACAGGTCGCCTCTCCTCGATGTTTTTTCCTGGACGCAGCCATATGAATCAAGTCTTGCCGCGCTGACTGCATGCAACAGCAATATAGTTTTTGTTTTTTGCATGAGCCAGACATGAATTTGTATGCTTTGAAATGCCGAGGCCATGCTTTGGCCGCACTCATTAGGTCATCTTCCTTGCTTCCCTTCGAATTCAGCTGTATCAGACAGCATTGGTTTGACATGACACGAATGTTTTCAATGAGTCTGCCGACAGATAGTTTTTCTGCGGTCAGTCATGCAGCCGCCCTGTGGTGTGGCCGAAGGCACATCTGATGCCAGGGTGTCAGACTTGAAGGAAGCCTTGGTGCAGAACGGCAAAGCACTGAAAGCGGCTTATCGGCAGAATGCCAAAAAACGGAAAAGGTTGCACTGTGCCGGCCTTGGAGCGGCAGCCCGCAAAACTGTGGTAGCTGTTTACATGCTGTCGAATTTTAACATGGATTTGACTCTCCGCATGGCTTGTGCTTTGACAACGATATCCTATGGCAGCAATGGGTACCCCACGGCAGCTTTGATCCAAGAGATGTTGCTGACGACGCCGCTGCCAGATTTGACCGCTTTGGGTGACACAGCTTCACGCAAAGCGCAAGCCTTCCTGGCCGAAGCAGCCACGGAGCAGTGGGTCTATGACTGCAATACGAATCATGGTCAAACACCTTCTGCGATGGACACGTTTTTGAAGTGGGAGGAGGCCTTCCATGGCCAGAAGCTGGACATGGGTGTGCCAAACAAACGCATGGTCAATAAGTGGGTGCAGCGCTGGCGGGCTCGGTGGGGCGTCCGCCGGAAGGTGCTGAAGCAAGTCGTTAGCAGAGAGCCCGCTGTACTGCGCGACAAGGCGCGGGCCAGCCAACTTACAACATTTTGTCTTCTTTTTTTGGGTTGGGTGGCTCCATTTTTGGGGCCGGAATGTGGCCCCAAAAATGGGTCCCCCTCATGTTTCATGCCTGTATAAGCCTACTTAATCCCGGTTGGGCGGTCCCATTTTTGGGGCCAGAATCTGGCACCAAAAATAGGCCCCCATTTTCAATCAATTTCTTCCCTCGGAATTATATTTGGGGACCCTATATATAATAAGGCTTTGTCTTTCACTTCCTGCAACGCTCGAGCAGGTCATGACATTTTGGCGGACCATCTGCTATTGCCACAGCAGGTTCGCAGACAGGGAGCTACTTTTTATAAATCTGGATGAGACTAGCGTCGGCCACACCATGACACCGCCTATTGGATGTGTGGCAAAGCCACGGACAGCAGGTGGCAAACAGCCGCATGCACAGGTGCTGAAGCAACATGTTCGAGGTGCGTGGACTTACTTATGTCAGCGTGATTTGCAACTGCAAGCACATCCAAGGGAAGTTGCCTCATTTTTTCATTGGCACCCAGGTGAAACTCACGAAGAAGCTCTTGCGCGCCCAGCGCGCTTTGCCACAAACTCGTTTGCGTGTTTTGCGGCAAAAGTCCGCTTGGACCTCTGCTGCCAACAGTGCCCAAATTCTCAAAGAGATCGCAGAAGTGCTGAAAAGTTTTCCGTCAAAACAAGGCGTTGTATACTCCTTGATTGTGCGCCGGCACACCTGCCACGGCAGGTCATGGCAATGGCACGCAAGTGCAAGCTGCAGCTTGTATATATCCCAGCGCAGACAACGGATTACCTACAGCCGCTTGATCTGCAAGGCTTCTCCCCTTTTAAACAATATTTGAAAAGGAAGCACCAGGAGTTGCGCTCATATTCAGAGCATGGTTTAGTGCCTCCTCTGGCCTGGCTATGGCAGTGCATGCAAGCCCCTCACGAATTTTGGGCAGCTCGGCAATGGCAGAAAAGCTTCGATGCAGTGGGCTGCAATGGCCCAGGTCAAGTGCACAAAGCGCTTCAACCCTTGATGGGTGCAGGGGTGCCTTGGCCTGGGCCTGACAGGCCGACACCCCAGCAGATGCAATGCGTTTGGCCAGCGCGACGCCAAATGGCGCACGCGTATAAGGTTCTTTTTCTTTGATGCTGCCGCTCCGGGTGGATCCAACAGATTTGCAGACGTGGGTGGCACTATAGGACAAAGATTTTTTTTCCATAATACTATGGGGGTACATGGTACGGGAGTCCCTTTGGCATCACTTTTCAAGCCCCCAGTTTTGGGCCCCCACCGGCCATGTTTTGTCACACTATCTTCCAGTTGTGCAGTTTGAGAAAATTGGCATGGAAGCTGTCCAGACGGCATGGCTTCTGCAGCTAGCACGGCTCACAGCTCGTCGCAGAAAACACAATTTGACTATATCTATAGCCATGTCTTCTGCCGCCGCTGGTATGGAAAGGGATGCTGCGGAAGGTGCTGCTGTAGCCCATGTGCCCGGGATGGATGACCGTATAGCTGCTTTGAAAGCTGAAAGGCAGGCCTTGAAACGCCAGCTGCAGCAAACCAGTCGAGAAGTCAAGGCCCAGGCTGGTTCAATTTCATCCTTGTGTGCCATGTTTGTGTTGGTGAAGCTGTATTGACATTCCATCGTGCCACTTGCACCTTCATCTTTCCCATCTCAGGTTTTTTTTGGTGAAGCTGCATTGCACCTGCATCGCACCACTTGTACTTTCAATCTTTTTGTTTCAGCTCTGCGCCGGGAGAAAAAACGACGCAGAGTCCTGAAATCGGCGGGCAAACTGAGCACCCAAGACCTCTCGTGGCTCCCGGCCTTCAAAATGACCCGTCAGCAGTAGCAGCTTCTTCAAAACTATATGTCTCACTGAAGCACTTGTGACTGCTGTCTCCCGAGGAGTCAGCAGCAGCTTCCTCAAAACTATATGTCTCACTGAAGCACTTGAGACTGCTGTCTCTAAAGGAGTCAGACAGGAATGTGGTGAAGTCACACGCGGCAGGTTACCTAACGACTGCTGTCTCCCAAGGCATCAAAAACACGTTTTTGCGTGCTTTGGCACCTGTTTTTGCTGTGGCCCCAAAAAACTACTAAGGATACTTCCACCCATTTTCGCAGACTTTGTATTGGCACGGCAGAGTCACAGCTCATGCACGCATGAAAAACTACTAACCCGTGAAATTGAAATCACAATGGCTTGGACGCAAAACTACTAAGGAATTCTGCCAATTGAAAAGAAATAGAAGAAAGTGTTTCCTTTTTTGTCCATTGAACAATTCCTTAGTAGTTTTGTCACCGAGCCAATACAAAGTTTGAAATTCCCCTTAGTAGTTTTCACACAGAAGCATAGTAGTTTTGCGGCAGAGCCAATATAAAGTTGTGACATCGTGCTTAGTAGTTTCACACCGAAGCATGGTAGTGTTGCAGTGGAGCCAATGCAAAGATTGACATCGCCAACGGCCAGTGAAGCATTTCATCTTGCAGCTGTGATGTGCCACCTGCCGTGACGGCACATGTGTTTCTTCCTAATTCAAAGGGCCTTTCCGGCCACATGTTGGCCCCCCCCCGCACCCCCCGGCATCAAGGTTGACGAAAATGTCTTGCTGTGAAGACCTGACGCTTTGGAAGTTGGCTGCTGCAGTGATTAACACCAGGAAACAACATTGATCCTGGGGGTGCGGGGGGGGAGCCGCTGCTGTGACCCTATACGTGGGGCCTCGTGCTGTGTGTGCAAAAGGTCTGAATTTGGGGTCGCTAACGGACGCTGATTTCAGCCCTCTTCATTGAGGGCCCTCCTTGTACTGTATATTATTATGTAATATGTATATATATATATATATATACACATTATATACTTCATTATTCATTATACTTTCTCATCACACTACCATAGATATTTTTTCTGCATCCCTGTCATGTAGGAATGAGCCGCAGCAGTTCCACGTGACGTTCTGCATTCTTCCGCGACGGAAGGAGGAACTCTACCCGATTCACATGGCTGCCAGGCTTGGCGACTACGAGACGCCTGGCCTTTTGAAAGTTGGGAAACCATTGGACCATGGAATCAGCCACATCAATCATGGGGGATGTGAAAACCATATTTAACATGGATTTAACCAACTAAAAAGGTGCTAGAATAGAAGTATAGTGAGTATACATATATATATATATACATATGGATGCATTAAATGTTTGGAAACAAACTGGCCGACTTCTGTAGGTACTGCAAATTAGAATTACATAATTACATTACTCTATGAATCCAGAAGATATCCCAAGGACTGATCAGCAGTATCGAGAGATCTCCAGGTGAGCGGTAAATTCTTCTTTTGCTTCCAACATAATGTGGTTAAAACAATAATAGTCAACCACCCATTTGGGAATGGTTTATACCACCTATAAAAATCGTGATAACTGCGGGGATGGTTTATGGCATTCTTTTAACCACATTATATCATTCTCCCATTTTCCCAATTCAAACAAACAGAGCAAGACCATTTAGTTGTCACCAGGTGTCACAACAGTCCTCCATTCATATCGAATGATGCATGATTCGCTTTTGAAAAAAACAGTTGTAATGTCTTTTGTCAATAGGACCTTTTATGATCTTTTATGTAATTCCACTGGTTCATCACCCTTAAACTCCCCATTTTGGGACAAAGGTTCGCCGGAGTTTTGGCCGGCGATGTTTTTCTCCATTGAGGATGTTGAGGCTTCTTCAAAAGGCTGGTGCAGATTCATCTCAAAAGACCTCTCTGGGCCGCAGCGCCCTGCAGCTGGTGGACCAGCAGACGGAGCAATTTGAACACATCAGCGCCTTAGTCGAAAGTTGCCTTGGGTGGAAAACACAACAGACATTGGGAGGTGTCCTGAGTCATGGGGCACCCCCGAATCATCCTTTATATCCTTTTATTAGATCATTTTAGTATTGAAACCCATGGTGACTTGGGGATCACCCATTTTAAGAAACCACCATTTGTCTTTGGTTGAGATCGGGTCTGACGTTGGTTTTTCATGGTTGTTGAACAGATGTCCATGAATGACAATGAATGACAATGGCTTGTTTAAAGAGGAATTCTCGGATTTGTTGTGATGTGCTGATCTTTATCATCTCAAAATAAATGAGTCTAGTGCCGTTTTTGGGACTGGGACTGCAGATGATCTGGGGCGGCCTTGTCCAACTCCAAGGAACTGCGCTTTGTAAAAAGGGAACATTGTGTCAAAGTTTCAAAAACTGATTTCAGCTGTTTCTGAATGTAGAAATTATTTAAGGTTGTCCAGGCAGATGGGGATATGAAGAGGCAGTGGCACAAGAAAAAGTGCTGGGCTTTAGCAATGTCCAGCTTACATCTTGATTAATGTATGGCCTCCAGACAAATACCTGGTCAGTTGCTGATGTTTCCTCCAACTGGAGATGCTAGCTATGCTTCCCACAGGTTGCCAACCAGCACTCTTGGTAGAGAATGAACACCATTTTTCCCCTCTTCTAGTAGTAGACCCGGCAGTGGGGAGCCCCCATGCTCAATAGGTACATAACCTATACAACTATATAGGGCTTTTCATGGATTCTCCACTGCTTACGATTGAGAGCCAAAGGGCAGGAACCATTCTACCCCTGCGAAATTTGGGATGTGGCGGATTTGTTCCGGGGTGATGGATACAAACACATATTAAACTTTGAAGATTTTGAAGCATCAATACAACATGAATTATAATCATAACATTGAAGACAGAAGAACACATATTAATAGTATGTGATAGCAATAACATGTAATAATTGTAATGTTGTAATGGTGTCAATATCAATATCAATATCAATATGAATATCAATATCAATACAACAACAACAACACCAACAAGAAGCAGCAACTTCAGCAACAACAACAAGAAGCAGCAACTTCAGCAACAACAACAACAACAACAAGAAGAAGCACAACCACAACCACCACAACCACCACAACCACAACAACCACAACAACAACAGCAACGACAACGACAAAAAACAACAATGACAACGACAACAGCATCAATAACAATGATTGCAAAATATTATTATGTGTTTTAATCTAATATGGCTATGGATCAATACCTATACATACCATTTTTAGGGGGATGAACATCCATTTACCAGCTATTTTGATGTTCACCAGGGGGATAGGGTTTTGACCCATCCCCATATAATACAACATAACATAATTTATTATAGTATACTACAATATGTTATATAGGTAATTATATAATGAAATATTTTTATTTACGATAGTTTGATATGATATATCATAATGTGATAGTGGTTAACACTCTATATATATATATTTATGTATTTATTGTTGTTGTAACTATATAATGATATTTAATGATAATAACAATACAATACCATATATATATATGTAATATATATTAATATTTAATACCATATATTGATAAAGAAAACAATTTTGATAATACATAATAATTATAAATCATAATTATTATTTTAATATTTATTTATTATAGTGATTTAATACATCTAATACATAATGTATATCTAAATGAATTTGGCCAGTTCTTACCTACACTGCAACAGATGTAACAGATCTCCCCGGATTTTTAGTGTTGTTGTGCTAGATCCTGGATTTCAGGGACTAGTCACCGATCTCATTTGCCAGGTTTGTTGCTGAATGGCCAGCTTATGCCTGCTCCAGCTCGAATGCTTAAATCTTTGAGTGCATCAGATGACAGCATCAGCAGCTGATCGCAGTTGCTCTCTTTGCCTTCTCATCTCCACCGCCATTTGACACGGCCGAAACCTTGAGGGTATGCTAACGCATTTTCCACTTGGGCAGAGTCCACCACTTTGCAAAAGAAATGGGTCTCATCAGCAAGTTACTAGCTGTTCCATGACTTGCTCAGTAGCGCAATACACCCCTCGCTCACTGGGTTTACAACTCCACTAAATAGCCACTTCCTTCCGAAGCTGCCACTTGCTCCCTGCAGCCAAGTCAGCGAACAATTCATTGATCTTTCACATGTCAACAATTCAAATGAGTAATTCGGGTTTTATTCATTCACTTACTTATTGAATTCAGTCACTCACTTTTTTCCTTTGATTCAGTCAGTCAATCAATCAATTACGTAGTTAATAATTCAGGCACTCAGCTGTTTACCCAGTCAGGGTCAAACAGCTTGCCAGGCAGTCGCTGAGTCAGTTGGTCAATCAGTCATTTCGTGAATCCTTCATTGATTCAACCATCCACTCACTCAGAAATTAACTCACCTCTTGGCATCGATGCCTCAGACAATCGGTGAGTCATTCAGTCGCACCGTTATTCACTCATTCAGTTGTGTATTCAATCCTTCTCTTCATTATTCAATCGCTCAACTATGTGTATGTGCGCGTGTGCGTGTGCAACCTGATACAACAAACAAGATTGCAGGGCGGCTGGTTGTCTATGTTATGCAAGTATCAGCCCAACGAAGAGGCTTGCATGTGACACTGATATCCCTGGAGAACCGTACCTGCGTTTTGGGCTAAACCAAAAACCCAGCAAGCGGAATTTCAACTTTCATTCGGCAGGTATTAATATAAATACAAGTTTGAACTGCTCTCTCGTTGCTTCGATTTTGAGATGTCAACCTGGGTCATCGACTTGCTGAACAACAGAACGCAAGAACTTAAGAAACCTCAAGGGGAGGACAAGGTCTGTCAAGAGCACCCTCACATCCCAATCCCCAGCGTGCCTTTGTCTGTTTCAGCAACTTTCGTGTTTTTGGCACTTCACTTTGTACAGTAGCATGTCATAGTAATAGTGTGCCGGAATTTTCCCGGCACTGCCGCAATCTACCAGTGTTTTCGCCATGTGCCAGCGATTGCTTCTTTTGCTCGGTGGATGGAAAGCCATGGAAAGCCCATGACCCAATGCCTTTGTCTGTCTTTAGACACAGCAAAGCACCGCTGAATGGATTGATTCAGCATAACAGTTTCAAAGTACGTGTTTATTTAATGATCTGAACTTTTATTGACTCTTGAATCGCATATACGTGGCCAGTGGGCACCTAAGTTGTCCACGAATTTGCGGACCTAAACTCCTTGGTTTTGAAACAAAAGCAATCAGCAGACTATGAACTGGTGGATCTTGAGGGTCCGCAAATTTTGAACATATCCCACGGTTCGAATTCTGCGAGTTCACTGAGCAGATTTTCCCATGCGCAGGCCAATTTCGCGGCTGCGAAGCCCAGCCACCTTCCGGTACCTTTATTGATAGCCCTTGAGGGTATGACAATGAGTCGAACCCTTGAAGAAAAACATTGGTTTTCGAATGTTTTCGATACAAGTCCTAAACATTCATGAACTGTTTGATGTTTGTTCGTGCAAACATCCATAGCCTTTGTATATATATACATATATGCAAAGGACTCTTGCATCCTTTTGCCACAAGCCTTCGAGTGATTTAAAACCGCACTTGTATGCCTTCCGATGGTCTCGTGGAATCTTTGATTCAACTCACCCCTTTGGAAGTGCGTTTTCTTTTCGAACACCATGCACCGGCTGATACCCATGTTGGGCTAGACTTTGGTTTGTTTATGTTTGTTCGTTTCATGTATTACGTCACTTGTGCATGGAAAATACATTGATGTGTAGCATCCTAATGTCTGAAGATATCGAAGATGTGTGATGGAACATGATTCAAATGATGGAACCATTTGTGTTAGGTTTGTGGAATGGATGGCAATGGCCTGTGCTTCTCTGGTTTCGACCTATGATTTCACAGAGGCGACAGAGCCGACAAATTGCACCCGTCCAGAGCAACTTCATGGTCAAGACTGACGCTGTTCTTTAAGGCACGTGTATCACATAAGATGTGAATTACACTCTATGTGTATCTATTTAGTAACTTATACTTGTCTATCTATAAATGGTGTGTGTTTTGATAGATATGTGATATAACTGATTTAGACATTATATGCTGTAAAAGATATTTGCCCGCAGATGTTTGTCAGCCATTCTATGTAATGAGGTTTATTTCCAGGTATGTCCGTACGCCATGCCCATGATACGTTACATGTGATGGCTCGTGCGAAGATGTTCTGGACACAGGCCTGGAATAGATGTTGAATCCAAGTGAAGCTTGTTCAAACATTTGAAACAGAAGCCCAGCCCAAAAGAAAAGTAAGCGGCCGTGTGCCCTGGATTCTGATGACACGCAAGTGCACTGAATTATTGCACAGCAATTAATATGCTGTCAGCTGTGGTTTGGTTGTCCATAAAAATGCATTGACCCGTGTCTCAGTCAATGCATCCTTTACATTTATTGGGGTTGTTGGGCTGCATGTCAAGTTTGATGTGAATTGCACATTCACGTGAATTGCACATTCATGTGAATTGGCATTCCCCATAATTCCCCCAATCTCCCACCAAAAAACGATTTTCTAGTCACGGCCACCCAGCATCAGGACTCTGTTTGAACAGGTCTTGGTGATTTGTTCTGTGAATATCTGTGAATTCATATTGCATCGACCCTAGAATAGGGGTATGTATAAAAATATAAATGGATATAAATGGCTTTGTTCTTAAAAAGTGGGATATACCCCAAGTTATGGCCATTGAAATGCCCAAAAACATCCAAAAAACAGCATCTATCAAGACCAAACAAGAATGGGTCAGAATTTCATGGCTTTAACCTTCTTTCACCTTGATTTTTCTTCATTTTTCCCCCTTTTCTGGGGCGGTTTCCGGCACATGGCCAGGTCTGTGAACGGTTTACGTGGCTTCTACCGGAAGCCTCCCGTGGGCCAACGCGGTGATGGATTTAGTTTTGCAGTAGATATACTATATTAATCTATATATGTTTTTTTATTGTATCATATTATGTTTTAGATTATTGTAATATATATATATTATAATTTTATTGTACTAAAATTATATCATATAGTATATGAATGCAGATGTAGTAAATTTTGCATTGCAAGCTTGGATTAGTGGGAGTCCTGGCCGGGGGTCAAGTTCTCCGGAGTCATCCCCGGCCTTATTTCAGCCAGATATGTTCACTGTATGACGGCAGTGCATTTCTGCCATTCAGCATTAACACAGCCATTTCGTGGGGATTCAAAGATTTCACGCCCACCAAAGGCCCTGACTTTGGGGCATCTGGCCGATTGAGCATTTGACAGCGGCATGAAATGTGTGCGATGCGCGATGCTTTGTGCAAGTCCAGGTGGCAGGATGTGTTCAAATTTGCGAAACATGGAGTTGCCATCGGGGTTTTTAAAAAGGGGAAGTGAATGGATGATAATGGACTTAATTTTTTAATCTGTTTTATCCGCCCGGAATTGGTACAAATCCTATCAAATCCTACTTTCCCTTGACAAGATTTCAAAAGTCCGTTATAGCAATTTGCCCAGGCACTCAAAGTTGTTCCAGTGAAGCAGTCAAGCAACTCCTCAAAAGTGCTGGCCTGGCTACATCTGGCTACCGGAGTTCAGGTTCCAGGCAACGCAGGATCAACAGTGCAGCTTGAAGTGGATTCAGATTTGTCAATCGAAGCAACAAACTACCTTTGTTGATGTTTCATGAAGTGTGTTTCTGCAGATGCTGACTACATCTTTTTGACATGTGGACAGAACTCAATACCTGAAACGGACAATTCTTGACTGTTGAAGTTTGTTCCAATACTTGGCAGAAAATCTTCAGCGTTATATGAATATGCCTAGCAACTCTCTTGAATTGTGATCGCTTGCCATGGGTTGGTTGGCACGGCTGATCTCTGACTTGAGTTTGCAGGTGGGTCTTTGAAGAAGCCCAGATTAACGTGTTTGAAAATCCGGAATTGAAGGGAAACTTGACATGAAACCACCATATCTGATGAACAAAAACTCCCGGTTTTCTGCACATGTTCCCTTGAACCAATCCAGTGAAAAAATGCTCCTCTCATTCCATGGTGAAGATAGATTCGCTCTCCGTCCTCTGAGAGGGTCCAGATGAATCTAAGTGGTGTGTGCCATTTTGTATTTTTTTTGTGCAGCATCAGGTGGTCTGGGGCTCGGTAGTTTTGATCCCAGACATTCACAGAAGTTTGTGGTTGTTTCCCCTTCCAGGGCCATGGATTCTTACAGTTGCTAAGATCAAACCATTGATTTGACAGGTGACATTTCTATGAATCTGACTTCAGACTTCTCTATCTTGATCAGCCAGTTCAAGCGACCCATCTCCAACCATGTTTAGCATACCCCCAGTATCCCCCAGTGAAAACCTCCCTGCTTGAGGTGAACTCAATATGGTGAGTGGAAGGGTATGGCAATGGGACGTGTTTGATCGTTTCCAGATTTTTTCAAC